GGGGGGCGGGAAGGGGCTGGCGGTGCGGCGAGGTCGGCGCGCAGCTCCGGCCGCGGGTCGCTCGGGCGCTGTCCAGGCGGAGCCGGCCCGGCCCGGGCTGCAGCCATGGTAAGGCGGGCGGGCGCGGGGCAGGGCCGGGCGCGCAGGGCCCGCTGCTCCCGGGCGGCTTCGCCGAGACCCGCGGCGCTGCAGCCCCGGCTGCGCGGGGCTGGAGGCGCTGTCGCCCGCCGCGGGCACGGGCAGGCGCTGGTGGCGGACGGCACTGCGTCGCTGCTCCCAAGTTTCTCCTTCTGATCCGAGCAGACACGAAGTGGGCCCCGGCCCCCGGGGGTGCTGCCCGCTTCTTGGACGAAGGGGTGGGTCGGTGCAGGGTCGGGAGAGGGCGGCGGTCGAGAGGCGCAGGTGGGCTGGGGCGAGCGAGTCCGGCAGGGGCGGAGTTGAGGGTCCCCGCCCTTGCCTGGGTCAGCTGTTACCTGGGTGACCCTTCCTCACCCCCACCTACCCAGGGCTCAGGGACCAGCAGCAACTTCTTTTGGAAAACATACACAGGAGGCTCACAAACACTGCTGCCTCCCAGAGAGGGCTGGTGAGACGCTTGGGCCCTCCTCCCCACCGCCTGGCAAGGGGCCGCTCCTCGGCCCTTCCCACAGCACCCTCTGCCCAGGGACCTCTGAGAGAGGGCGGCCCAGCCAGCACTCCACATCCCTCTGCCCCTGAGATAGGGACCCAAGGGAATCTTCCTCCTGCAGCATCCTACCTGTCCCCCCCCCGCCCCCCCCAACCAGGTCCCTCTGCAGTGATGGGGGGTGGAGGGAACTCATTCCTGCCACCTGCCTGTGATGGGCGGAGAAGCAGTAACTGCAGCCCGCCTCTCTGGAGACCCCCAGGTAGGAAGTGTCGAGGTTTGACTGTGAGGGTGCCAGCTCCCGTCCTGACCTCAAGGCCAGAGCCTGCCACAGACACTCTGTGCTGGGTGTCAGGGCCTTCAGGCCCTGTGCCAGCTTCTGCTCCGGTCTGGAAGCCCCCTCGCCTTTGCCCTCTGTGTGGGAGGCCCAGGCTGTTTACGGCAGTGGGAGATCTGTCGCTAGCCTGTGGGGCAGGATGTTGGCTGTGGGCAGCCTCCAGAAAGGCGCTCCCTGGGCCCTGTGGAATCAGGAGCTTCCAGGTCTGGACGGGCCAACCTTTTGGTCTCTCCTCTGTCAAGCTGTGTCCAGGCCGAGGCCCAAGTCTTGGCCAGGAAGTCTGGGTGACACTGTGACCTTCCCCAAAGGGGGGTTCCTGGGAGAGGCCAAGTGGTGCCTGCCTTTATCCCTGCCCGCATCCGTCTCCCCACGTGGGGACAGACAACTGATGGTCCTGGGGTGGGAGCCGAGGGGAGCTCTGATTGTTCGTAGTGCCAAATGTCCCTAGTGCAGGGGCCAAGGGAGGCTTTTTCTGCCACACATTAAGTTCAGTTCAAATGAGGTCTTGGGGCTTCAACTTGGCCGAGTTGTAATTGGCCTGTTCCTCTGTAATTAAAGACACCCTGTCACGACCAGAGTCCTCTGCCTCAGGCCCCTCCCCTCAAGCCAGCCCCGTCCTTAGGCTGACGGGTTCGTGACAAGCCAAACTTGTCTGTGAGGGTCTCTTTGTAAGAGGAGATGAGGGACCCAGGTGCTTGGGAGACCAGTGGGGAGAGCTCCCCAGCCTGGGAGCCCCCCAGGAGGGCTTAATTGGCATACAGAAAGAATGACTGGCTCATGTTAATAACCATCCTGTGACTTGAGCTGTCCCTTCTCTCCCCAGGTTTAAAGCAGCTTGAGGTGTACCTGTCGTCTGGGAGTGCTTGCTTTCCTCAGCCTTCCTGGGGCAGGGAAGGGCCGCTCACAATTGGACATTAAGGCCCTGAAATTAAGACACTGTTCAGAGTCACAAAGGGTGTTTCTAGCCAAACCGGAAACACTGGCCTGCGGTCTGCCGGTCAGGTCTCCACGTGCGCAGGCCCAGCGAGGTCCCGCTCTATGCGTGTCCCGCCTGATCAGTACCTTGGAAGCCTCTGGGATGCCAGCCTCTCCTCCCCCTGGGGTCATGCCCCACAGAGACCACGTGCTAGCTGCTGACCCCCTGAGAGTGATGGGCGGATGGAAAGGATTTGGATGAGTTGAGAGGGCAGGTACCCTAGGATGGGAGGCGTCTGCGTGGCAAAGGCCCCTGTGCGCCTGGGGCCCTCCGCAGGGAGATGTCTGACGGCGATTTCTGAAGGTAGTGCAGTGCTCTGCTGGGAGGGACCCACAGCGACACTGGGAAGAAAAGTGGGTCCATTCCCATGAGAACCTACACGCCAGGGACGGTAGGACACCCCACCCTACTTCGGCACTGCTTGAAGTTACGGTGAAAGAGAGAGGTCGGAATCCTTTTGGGATGAAGTCTCCTGGACCAGGTCACCTTGAGGACAGGGCTGAAGCCCCCGATAGGCCTCGGCGTCCTTGGGTGTTAACAAGAGAAGCCAAGTGGATGAGGAGCCTGCAGACGGACATGGGAGGCTGCTGCTGTGCCCACCACGGCAGGCAGCGGGCAGGCATCACAGGGGAGCCAATCAGAGGAGGACGGGACTGCAGAGGAAAGCGGCGGTCCCGCCGCAGCTGAGCTGTCCTTGGAGGGTGGGAGCCAAGGGAAGGGAGGAGGGAGGGGGTGGGGAACGACATTCCACAGGCTTTTTTGGCCCCTGACAGAGACAGGGGGGTCAGAGAGAAAGGGAGAGGAGCAAGTCAGGACGCCGGGTTACAAGAGCACCAAGACCAGGCTGTTTCTGTGCGTGAGGAACTTTGCCTGGCAGATAAAATTAGACCTAGAGCTTGCTGACAGGGAGTCTGAAGCGTGGGACATGGACCGTTCCCTGGGACGGCAAGGCAGTTCTGTCCCCGAGGAGAGGGCTGAAGCTGGGGTAAGGCTGCTCCGGGAAAGGGTGGACCTGCCTCGTCTTCCCCCTTGCGTTGGCTGGATCGGGGCTCAGAGGCAGAGAAGGATTGGGTCCTTGGCGGAAGGATTGGCTCCGTGGCAGAGCTGGAGGGCCGATGAGGCCCCTGGGGTCCTGGCCCTTTGGTTGGAGCTCCTGTGGGTCCCTCCTGTGCTCGCTGGAGGGAGAGCGGTGCTGGCGGCTCTCCTGGAAGGTTTGCAGGAGGCTGGGGGTCTCTGTCAGGGCCTTGCCTCCTCCCTGGGCTGCTGCCCCTCTGCTCAGCGCTCCTGGTGGAACCAGGCGGAGACAGCCCCCTCTCTCCCACCCTCAGTCTGCCCCCAGACGGACTTCTGGGTTCCTGTGGGGTTGTGCAGAGGGACAGGATTTCCCCAAATTCCCCAGACTCTTGGGCTGCCAGAAAACGAGACCTGTCACACACACTTTGCCCGCCCCCCCCACCCGCATCCCTTCCCCGTTGCTGTATAATTAATCGTCTGAGCTGGGACACTTTTAAGAGTGGAAAGTGGCAATTCTGCTAAGACAGCAAACATAAACCGGGATGAACGGTCACCCCACTGGACCCCAAGATACTGCGGGTGAGAAAAAGCCTGTTGGGTCAGGCCTGCCTCAGGACGTCTCTTCTGGCCACTTGGCCCCCACACGCTGGTTCCAGTTTCAGGCTAAAAGACCCCTTTTCCTGTCCAGGCAAGCCCTGGAGACTGTGGCTCTAAGCCGGCGGGGGCACTTGAGAGGCTATAGCCCAGAAGTAGCTCTTAGGCGGCTTTTCCCTCTAGCCCCCTTCTAGTCCCTTCCCTCTGCAGTGCGTAGGACTGCATCCCTCAGTTCTTCCCGCCCTAAACGGGAACCTGCTGAAGACGGTGGCTGTCATATCTCCCCTGACTGGGACTCCACTGTGGTCTGGGGTAGCCCCCACTAGCTTGGCCGATTCCCAGGGGGTGAGTCAGCCTGTGAAGCCGGCCCTTGTCCATTGTCTGGGGGTGGCACGTGGGCATTGTGAGGCAGAGCTGAGCCCAGCACCGCCAGGCACTCCACGAAAGGGGCTGGCCCCCAAAGGAGAGAGGAAGCTTTGGGGTCTAGAACTCAGGGTCAGAGTAAGGGGGACGTGGCCTGTCTTCCCAGCTGGAGATGGTGGGGGGACAGGTCTCCGCAGAAGAGCCAGCCACAGTCTGCTCCCCCTACCCCCGTGTGCTTCACAGTTGAGGCCAGACCCCCTCCGGTACTGCCAGGTGAAGCCTAGCTCGGGGCAGGGGGCAGGGGGCAGGGAGCAGCCGGGGGCGCCTCCGCCTCTACAACCCTCACAGCTGGGGGCTGTCTGCAGTGTCCCCCCCAGCCTCCCTCACCCAGTCCTTCCCACCCTCACGAGCATCAGCTGGTGTGTTTCACCTTCACCCCGGAACCCAGGGCTCAGGGTCTGGAATCAGGGGGCTCAGGTCAGCTGCTCTGCGCTCCGGGAGAGAACACCTCCGGGAGAGTCGGCTCCCGAGTCCCGGGGCTCAGGGCTGCAGCGGCTGGAGTGGAGGAGCCCCCTGCTGGCTCCTGAGTCGCCCGGGGCTGGAGGCTCCCTTCTCCCCGCCCTGGCTCCCTCCCGCCTCCCGCCCCTACCCGTCCCGGCGGTCTGCACTCTCCTTCCGTCCTGAGCCACGTTCTCCTCTCCGCTCTAATGCCTCTGTCTGCTCCGCTCATTCGGCCTGGCTTCCTGGCCTCTAGGGCAGTCCCTGGCCCTGGCGTGGAGGGGCAGCCTCGACCAGCACCCTGTTGCGAGGGAGCATCCAGACCGGAGCTGCTGGGTCCCCAGAGCAGTTGCTAGGGCGCTGGGGGGCTGCTGCTGCTCCCTGGGGTCTCCTGATGTTGCGGACCCTCGGGCCGGAGGCCTGTGAGCAGGGGAGGGTGGCGAGCGCTTCCTCTGGCTTGGCCGCCTGTGCAGCTTCCTTCCCTTCTAACCACACGTGCTTTCCTCTCTCCCTCTTGCCTTCTCCTGTCTTGCTCCTTCCTTCTTCCCTTCCTGCCACCGACCCGCCTACCCCACCCCGCCCCTGCCCCTCAGATCAAGCGCTTTCTGGAGGACGCGGATGACGCAGAACTGAACAAGTTCGTGAAGGATTTCCCAGGAAGCGAGACCTACCACCCACCAGAGGCCAAGACCTTGGTGCCCAGGCCCCAAATCCAGGAGCCGAGGCCCCAGGCTTCAGACCTCTGCCAGGATGACCTGGAGTTCAAACCCCCCTCGTGGCCCCAGCCCTCTGACAGCCAGCAGTACTTCTCTGCCTCAGCCCCCCTCAGCCCCTCAGCCCGGCCCCGCAGCCCGTGGGGCAAGCTCGATCCCTATGACTCCTCCGAGGTAGAGCCTCCAGCCCCGTCTGTGCTGATGCAGGAGGCCCTGGGGAGGGAGCCGAGGGAGCCCCAGAAGTGTGTGTTGCGTGTGTGTGAGTTTGTGTGTGCACCCACACGTGGCTGGAGACGCGCTCTGTCCTGTGTTGGCCCCAGCTCTGTGGGGTCACCCCCGCACCCCCCATGCATTGGAACCCGACAGTGTCAGCAGGGAGAGGAGCCCCGCTGGTGGCCCGACCTGGGGCCTCAGAGGAGTGTGGCAGTTATCCTGGAAGGCTGGGCAAAGACCCAAGAGGCGGGGAGAAGGCTGGTGTTGAGTCCTGGGGTCCTTCGGCTCCCGCCCTAACGCACTCTGCTTTCTCGTCGTCCCCCAGGATGACAAGGAGTACGTGGGCTTTGCAACCCTCCCCAATCAAGTCCACCGGAAGTCTGTGAAGAAAGGCTTTGATTTTACCCTCATGGTGGCAGGTAGAGCAGGGGCTGGGCAGAGCTGGGCAAGAGGTGTTTCAGGTGGGGATGGTTCGTGTGCGGGGGCGGGGTGGGGTATGGGTGTTAGTTGCTCAGTCGTGTCTGACTCTTTGTGACCGCATGGACTATAGCCCGCCAAGCTCCTCTGTCCAAGGGATTCTCCGGGCAAGAATACTACAGTGGGTTGCCATTCCCTTCTCCAGGAGATCTTCCCGACCCAGGGGTGGAACGCAGGTCTCCTGCATTTCAAGAGGCTTCTTTACTGTCTGAGCCGCTGGGGTATGGCCAGGGCAGGAGAAAGCAGCAAGTGGCTGGGCCTTTTTGCAGAACAGCCAGAAGCTGAAGGCGGCCCAAAGTCCGCATCCTATGTGCTGTGGGGGAGGGGGCAGTGACGAGGTCCAGAGAACCCTCAACCCTCAGGGTCCTAACATTTGCCTTTTGCTGTGTGACCCTGGGAACCCCTTATCCTCTCTGGGCCTCACTGGCTGGATGAGCTCTCATCTCTGCTTGCTTCCGGCTCTGCTGTGTTTGGGTTAGTCTCTTCCCAGTGAGATAGGCAAGAAGCTCCCCCACAAACTCGGCCCAGTGGGGTGGCCTCCTGGTGACTGCTGTGTGCCTGTCCTGTCTCCCCCGTCAGGAGAGTCGGGCCTGGGGAAGTCCACGTTGGTCAACAGCCTCTTCCTCACGGATCTGTACCGGGACCGGAAGCTCCTCAGCGCAGAAGGTGAGGGAAGGAGCGTGGGGACAGGCGGGCAGAGCTGACCTGGAAAATGGAGCTCACTCGGGGCCTGGGGGATACAGGAAGCTGCGGCTTCCTAGAGAGCCTGCCACGTCTCTCCGGAGGGCTGTCCAGCCTGGCAGCCCACCAGCCAGCTCCCTAAAGACTTGGGTGCTGAAGCAGGGCAGGGGCCAGAATCCTCTCTGACCCCCCAAAGGATTCCAGGAATCCGAGAAAAGAGGCCGGAGCAGAGAAGAGGCTGGGGCCGGAGCCAACAGCCACCGGCATTTCCTGTGTTGGGAAATGTGCTCTTCGCTGGTTCCCAGAGAACAGACAGGCCCCCGGGCAGCCCCAGGGGGCGGGGAGGGGGCAGGGAGGGTGCGGCAGCCTGGGCAGCAGAGCTGGTTGGGATGGGCCGTGTGGTCCCAACTGGGCAGGTCCTTGGCCTTGCCCTGGCCTCAGTTTCCCCCTTCTCCAGAGCGTATCATGCAGACGGTGGAGATCACTAAGCATGCCGTGGACATAGAGGAGAAGGGCGTGAAGCTGCGGCTCACCATTGTGGACACACCAGGTTTTGGGGATGCCGTCAACAACACAGAGTGGTAGGTCTGACCGAGCACAGACCCTGCCCCCAGCCCACCCATTCCCTCCGCAGGCACACAGAGGTGCAGACACACCCCCGATGTCAGGAAGAAGGGGTGTGTGCCCTTGAGCGTGCCCCTGCCCCTTACTGGACGGCTGTTTCCTCTGTCAGGTGAGAGGGACAGCCTTGGGATAAATGACCGCTAGTGTTCCTTTGACTCTGACCTACAGTTCTAGAATAGGGGTGAGGGCACCCCCCTTTTTTTAGGGAAGAGCCTCAAAAAGCAAACATGTGAAAACATGTAGCAAAGGACCTGACATAGCAGGTGCTCAATAATGGTCCCTCTCCCTCCATCTGTTCCTTTCACCAGCAACATTTTAGGTGCTACAAGCAAGTTATTAAAGGGGTGAGAGTTCCTGGAGGGGTAGGGGAAGGTGAGAAAGAAGAGGCAAAGGGAAACTGTGGGTGGAACTTTGTTTAAACTCCAAGCACCCTCTGGGCTACTTGCCAAAAGAAAAGTGGCTACTCGCCACTCCCCCCCCCCCCCCACTCCATTACGCTTCCCTGGTGTCTCAGTGGCAAAGAATCTGCCTGCCAGTTCAGGAGGGTTCAATCCCTGGGTGGGGAAGATCCCCTGGAGAAGGAAATGGCAACCCACTCCAGTATTCTTGCCTGGAAACTCCCATGGACAGAGGAGCCTGGCAGGCTACCGTCCATGGGGTCACAAAACTGTCAACATGACTTAGTGACTAAACAACAACACCTCCCCACCTCCCCAGTCATCCCTGACATTTTTTTTTTTCCAGGAAGTAGAAAGATGCTTAGATAGTGGTCAGACCTAAGGGAGTAGATGAGAGGAGAATGGGTGATAGAACCAGGGGAAAAGCTGGTGGTGCCTTTGTTAAGAACATTAGGCAGGGTGGTGCTGAAACTCCTGGACTGAGAATTCAGATCCTGACTCAGCATTTAGTAACTGCGTGATCTTGAGCAAATAACTGCACTCCCATTTCTTCAGTTGAGAAATGCTGGCTTTACCAGTTGATCTAAAAGTCATCTCAGAAAGATGCATGTAAATGTGCACTGAAAACTGTAAAGGGCTGTGTACACTACACTCATGGATTTAAAGACGATAATTGCAAAATAAATTTGCAGGATCAGTGCAAAATAAAAGTGCGGGGTCCCTTGTTCAAAATGATTAAGAATTTCAAGATGGCCACAGCAGAGAGTAAACCAGATGTGGGCCCTCTGAGTGTGGGGCCCACATGTGACTGCACAGGTCACATGCCCAGGAAGCTGGCCCTGGATGGTTGCCTCCCAGACTGATCAGGACCTCACAGATCCTTCTGTGACCTGAACGCACCTCACATGCTTTATCGTTACAACATGAGACCTTGGCTCAGTACACTGGTTCATCTTCAACTTCTTGATCCAAGCCTTGAGGAGAGGGCCACTTCATACGTTCTTGCCATAGCACTGTGCTAGTGCGTAGTACATGGTCTCCGTAAATACTCCTGCTGGACTGAGGTGGCCTCCATGTCATCACCCTTCCTAATCTAGGAATATGTCTCAGCCAGCTGATTTGCCTTGAAATTCTAGCCCCAACCAATGCCTGTTTCCTGCTTTAGCAAGTATTGCTTCCTCCTTCAATCAGTCTACTTACTTCCTCTGACATTCCATAATGTAGTAATAATTCCACTTGCCTGGCACCTCCCAGTTTACAGTGGACCTGCACATGTGCTCATTTAGTCAGCCAGCAGGAATATCTTGAGCACAGATTAGGTGTCCAGCCCATGCTGGACATTTTACGGGATACAGAACAAGTATGAATAATCCTTGTCACTGGAAGCTTACAGTCTAGTGGCAGTGGGAGTGGGAGAGGAGAGGGGGCAGGTCTCTAACATGTGTGTCAATCAGGCTAAAACTTAGGTTAGTAAATGGGTCAGGCAGTGTAGTGGCAAACACACTGAACTAGGAGTCAGAGCCCAGGGACTTGGATGGGTAGAGAATTTGCTGGCTAAAATGATCTGGATTAAGTCTCTTAGCTGCTCTGGATTTAGCTTCTTCATGTATAAGATGATACTTATATATATATAAGTATATATATATATATATATGTATAAGAACAATGATACTTATAATGTCCATCTATCAGGGCATCTATCAGTGAGGACAAAACTCAATAACAGCAGAGCAAGAGACTTGAAAACTGAGGTTCTTGTATATATTGAACATAGATATGGATGATATATACCATATATGTATATGACCTTCATGTGTGGTGAAGGGAAGGAAGAGCAGTGTGCATTGGTGTAGTCACAGGAACCTTTGTGGAAGAGCTGGTTCTTGGACATGGCTTTGAAGGACGGAGTGAGCTTGGAGAGGTGGAGGAGAGGCTGGACCCACCTGAATAAAGGCCCTGAGGTTGAACTGTGAACCTGATTTAGGGCTGCCCTGGCCTCCAGTTGGTTTTCACTGCATCTTGCTAGTCTTCCTGCTTTGTTTGGTCACCCAGGCTCTCTTCCTCTCATCACACTAAGGGTTTAACGACCTCTGCCCACGTGCCTCGTCTGATTTTCTATCAGGATGTTTGAGATGTACCGTGACCCACTCAGGTACCTCCCTGAAGATGCAGTAAAGCAAGTCGGGGAAGAGCAAAGTGGTGAAAAGTCTGCCCAGGGCGTGGGCTGCTCGCAGCCCCAGAACTCACTAGGCAGCGCTCACTTGCAGTTTCTCTGCTTGTGTTCCCTGCCCCAGCTGGAAGCCTGTGGCTGAATACATCGACCAGCAGTTTGAGCAGTATTTCCGAGATGAGAGTGGCCTGAACCGCAAGAATATTCAAGACAACAGGGTGCACTGCTGCCTGTACTTCATCTCGCCCTTCGGCCACGGGTATGGTCTGAGCCTGAGGCTCCTGGCCCCACCAGGTGCTGCCAAGGGGACAGGCCAAGAGCACCGGGGGCAGGGCTGCCACTAGCAGGTGGTCACGGGTTCCTGTTCCCCAGGCTCCGGCCATTGGATGTTGAATTTATGAAGGCCCTGCATCAGCGGGTCAACATCGTGCCTATCTTGGCCAAGGCGGACACACTGACCCCTCCTGAAGTGGAGCGCAAGAAACGCAAAGTGAGGGGAGCTGGTGGGGGAGGGGAGCAGGTGGGCTCCTGGAAAAGGTTGGAGTCCCCCCCAGATCCATGGGCCCCTCGTGTGTTTGCCAGATCCGGGAGGAGATTGAGCACTTTGGAATCAAGGTCTACCAGTTCCCAGACTGTGACTCTGATGAGGATGAGGACTTCAAATCACAGGACCTGGCCCTGAAGGTGGGGCCACCCCAGGGATCCCCTTCCCAGCTTGTTTCTTCTGGGCGGAAGAGGGAGTAGAATTCTGTGTAACGGGGAGGGGCTCTTGGGGTGGAAGAGGACCCTGGTTTTCCAGAATGAAGCAGAGGAAGATGAAGTTACAGGCACAAACAGGTGAGAATGGGGGTGTTGAGAGACACCCCTAACTTCTTCCAGGAAAGCATCCCATTTGCTGTCATTGGCAGCAACACTGTGGTAGAGGCCAGAGGGCGTCGAGTTCGGGGCCGGCTCTACCCCTGGGGCATCGTGGAAGGTAAAGCTCTGAGCTTGTGACCAGGGTATCTCCTTGCCCTCAACGGGTCTCCTCTACCCGTGCGCCTGGCTGACCCCTAGCCTTGCTGTGCAGTGGAAAACCCAGGGCACTGCGACTTTGTGAAGCTGAGGACAATGCTGGTGCGTACTCACATGCAGGACCTGAAGGACGTGACGCGGGAGACGCATTATGAGAACTACCGGGCCCAGTGCATCCAGAGCATGACCCGCCTGGTGGTGAAAGAACGGAATCGCAAGTATGGCCAAAGGCCGGGACAGAGCCGGCAGGGGCGGGGTCCCAAGCGCCGCCGCGGAGGAGACCAAGCCCCTCCTTTGTTCCGCAGGCTCAGTCCAAGCAGGTGCTGGGGTTCCCCTAGCCTTACCAACCTCCTTTCCCCCTTCCCTTCAGCAAACTGACTCTAGAGAGTGGTACCGATTTCCCCCTTCCTGCCGTCCCACCAGGGACAGATCCAGAAACTGAGAGGCTGATCCGAGAGAAGGATGAGGAGGTGAGGCTAGTATGGGGTGGTAGGGGTTGCCAGCCTGAGAGGACCCCTGTTTAATTATAAACCCCATCACACCCCAGGGCTACCAAGGGCCCGACGGAAGGGATTAGAGGTTGGGGGGGGGGTCCCTAAATCTGTAGGACTCCGAGAGGCCCCACTTTGATGCGTGTGCCTGTTCCAGCTGCGGCGGATGCAGGAGATGCTGCACAAAATCCAAAGACAGATGAAGGAGACCCATTAGCTGGCTTTCAGCCCTGAATATTTAAACGCCGCCTCTTCGTCCTGCCTATGTCGGCCCCTCCCAGCACCAGCTCTGCTCAGGCCCCTGCAGCTACTGCCACTTCGCCTTACATCCCTGCTGCCTCCCCAGAGACTCAGAGGAAATAAAGTTTAACAAATCTGTAGGTGGCTTCCTGTGTCACTGTATCTTTCCCATCTCATGGAAACCAAGAATTTGAAAGGTTGCTGGAGGAGGGTGCTGGTTTCTGGCTTTTAGTAGGGGCAGAAGAACAGGAAAAACTTTCCCCTCCCATGACGAGTTCAGTCCCTGCCCATAATCCAGCCTGGCCAGTCCATCTTCCCGACGCTATCTGTCCTGCCTCTGTTATCTGGAGCCCATCATCCTTCCCACATATAGTACTGAGAATCCCACAGACGTTTTAGAATTGATAGCTGCCCTCAAGAAAACATGGTATTAATTGCATGCAGCCTCCCAACTTCATATTTCCTCTGTTTTGGGGAAAGGGATATGCAGAATTAAACTGCACTCTAGGAGGCCTGTGATAGCGCACTGAACACACGTTGAAACCGCTGTAATCACCAAACACTAGTGAGTGCTGGGAATGGAAAAAGTACAATCGTCGTCCTGTAAGAATTCAATATTCATTTAACAAATATTTACTAAGCATCCGCTAGGTTGCAGACTCTATTTTAAACCTTGGGAGTTAACAGTGAACACAGGTAAGGTTCCAGTTCTCCTGGGATTTACTAAATACGGAGTAAAAGCTCCAATGTCCTTCACAAAGTGAAGACATTGTGGCCCGGGGACCTGATATTAAAGCATTCAGGTCTACTCTAACTGAAGCTGTCGGTGGAGAATCTGAACCAACCGTTCTCCATTTCTGTCGGGTTGGTGGTATCTCGGGGCCAGGGCGGCCTCCAGCGGCCATCCTCCGCCCTGCTGCCAGCTCTGGCTCCCCTGGGCAGAGAGGAAGGGAGGCGCCAAGAACTGCAACTTCAGGGGAGTCCGACTCCCCACACCCTTTACAGACCAAAGGGTCGCAACTCGCTCGTGGCAGTCTCAGCCCCATCAGGTAAGAGAGCTTCTCAAAACGGAAAGCACCATTCATTCAGGTCACAAACAGGGCGGGCTCGCCGACGCAGAGGGAGGGTTGGAGGAAGACGTCAGGGTGCGGAAGAGGAGACTCTTAACCCCCACCAGTCGAAGACCGAGACGGAGCCTCAGGCCCAGACCGTCCCCTTCTCTCTTAGCATTCAAGAATCTTTCTGTCCCTTCGGGCTTTGCGACGCACGACCGAAGGGAAACCAAACGGAGAACTGGATAAAGCTTAGGTGCCGCCTGGGATTTCTCTGAGAAGTACCCCTGAAGCGGGCCGGTCACCGGAAGTGGCTGTAAAGCCGGGGCCCCCACGAGGCTCCGCCCTCCACTGCGCACCGGGAGGCGACGGGCCGCCCCCACTTCCGGTCCCTGGAGCCTTCGCCTGCAGCCCCCCTTTCCTGCTCTCCCATTGGCTACCGCAGGGACGCGCTGTGATTTCCCATTGGTTGCGTCTCTACCCCGGCGCCGCACCTCCCCTCCAAGCGCAGCCCCGTTTCCCGGAAGCCGATAGGCTAAAGGCTGGGAGGGCGTCTGCCCCACTGGACCAACGAGCGGCGCGAAGAGCGAGGGCGGCGGCTGCGTGGTGGGGGCAGGGTGGGACTCGGCGTGGCTATTGGCCAGGGCGGGCCCGGGCCGAAGGTAGGATTGGTTGGGCCGAGGGGCGCCGCGGTGGGTCGGAGCTGCGTGGCCTCCGCGGCTGCGGGAGACGGAAGTGGCGAGAGCGCGGCCTCCGGAGGGTCGGGCGGACGCCGGCTGGGTGAGTCACCGTGCCCCGTGCACTGCCGGTCTGGGAACCGCAACTACCGCGTCTTGCCCGGCCCCGCCCCGGCCCCACCGGCTTTCGTGAGCCCCGCCTTCTGTCATTCGGGGCTCCGCCTCCGAATCGTTAGGCTCCGCCCCTAAAACCTGGGCACCTGGGCTTCCCTGTCAGCCTGACCCGCCCCCCCACCCCGTGACCAGATCCCCGCGGTCCGGACACCGTGGGCCTCCCAGGCCTGTCCTTTTCTCGCTCTCTCTCGCTTTCTCTGAGGCTGCTTGCCAGTGGGCGGTGAGGCAGCAACCCGACTTGCCGCCTCCATGAGGAAGGGTGGGCTGTGACCACGGAGGCGGGGAGGGCCACGGATGGAGACATATCCACACAGCCTTCTTCGGGGTACTGCTGGACTGCCCCCTGAGCTCGGATAGCAGGCATGAAGAAAACTGTCAGTGAAAGCTGGGCCTGGTTCCCTGAGTGGCTCCCTAAGTGGGCCAGGGAGGCCCATCCTGCCATTCCTGTTACTTGGGCCCACTTGACAGGTACTGACTCTGAGGCCTGCACTTGCGTGATTCTGTCCCTGTTGTGTGGCCTCCTCCCACTAACCTGCACTTCATTTGGTGTCAAGGGCTCTCAGAGGGACACATCCAGCCCTGCTGCCTTCTGATCACAGGTTGTGGTCCCCTCCCTCTTGGCCTCTGCTCTGGACTCTGCCCCCAGTAAACAGGTCAGGTGGGTGCTGCTCCCAGCCTCAGGGCTGGCAGAGTGCTCTTGTGGATTCATGTTCCCACCAGGGCCAGAAGTGAGCCCTGGTTGGGCATCCTCTATCTCTTCAGAGCTGGCAGTTCTTTTGCTTTCCCACAAAGAACGGGGTTCTTATAATTAAATTCTCTTTCTGGGACTGGGAATCAGGACTCGAGTCCTGTTCCAGGACTTTGTGGCTGTTTTCATGCCCTGCAGAGTCACTTGTTGCTTTCTCCCCATGTAGCTCCCATTGCCTCTGTCTGGCATGCTGACTTGTGGAGAGGCTGGGTTCTCTATGAGGGAGGCAGATAAAGAGTTGTGGGGAAGTTCAGGAGTAGTTGTGTGGCATTTGTTGATTCTGTGGTGATGTTAACTGTGCTCTTTACTCATATGTTTCTCTGTCTCCTTACAGTGAGAAGCAGGCAGCCAGGACCCTCACCACGGTAGAATGGTGAGTACTCTTTCCTCAGACTGCGGTGTTTTCTGTAATCCTGGTGTCTTTCTCCATGAAGCTGCCCGCCCCTCCTGGACCTTGAGCTCCAGGCAACTCTAACTCTGTTCAGCAACTAAACAGGTTCATCTGCCCTGGAGATAAATTAGGGCTTCTTAGGTTGCAAAACATCAGCTGATACACAGCACTGGGAGGGGAGGCCTCTGCAAGTCTTTTTCTGCACGTGCTCTGACATGCTTTCCCCACACCACCACTGTCTCCCTTAGTTCTTCATATCGGCCCTTGTCTTGCTCCTCCTGGTCCTTGGGTGAAGCTCTCTGCTTTGGTCTGAAAAGTTAGATCCTTGTAGTTCCTACTAAGTCCCTGAAATATTGTGGGTGCTGCATCAGGAGTGACCCCTGTAAAACTGTGGGGCTTCTCTAGCTCCAGAGTGCTGCTCTCCATTAAGCTACTATAGGCAGCAGCTGACGGAAGCACCCTCAAGGTGCCCAGAATATCACTGGGGGCCGTGTGTGTGTGTGTGTGTGTTGTAATGATCCCATACATTTTCCACTAACTGTAACTGCCCTTCTTTCACCCCAAATACAAGGAACCCCTTAATCCCTGAGAGCTGAGAGGAGGAAGTAGTGAGATGAGAAGGGAGTGGAGAGCTGCAGGCCCGGGTTCAGACTAGGCCTTGATTCTGGCTGTATCTCTTTAGTTCTTTCACATGTCCCCAGTGCTCAGGGACAGGTCAAAGCATTCAGGTGATGAGAGGACTTGCTCTTTTCCCTCCATAGACATGTGGGTGTGTGGTGTGTATAGTATTGTTCTGGTCTCTTCTCAGAAAGCCTGCTGGTCCTGGCCCCCACCTACTGATAGCCCCTGTCCTTTTTCTCCTCTGTGATATCATGAAAAGAGTCAACCTGATCTAATTTTGAATCCTAGCACCACCACTTAAATACTTTAGGTGAACTGACTTTCTCTGTAAGCCTCAAATCTCACGAAATTCTTTCAGAGTTGAATGGTTTTAGCCAGATAATGTTTGAAACATGTCTGGCTCATAGTAGATGCTTAATAAAGTGTCAGGTTTCTCCTATTCCTCCCTTCCCCCAAGACCAAAACCCAAACAAAAGCCCTGGTTTCTGAAAGCTACCAGGCACTGGGAGTGTAGGGTTTCAAACAGTTCCTCCTGTGACTCTCAGTGACATTTCAAGCGTCTTATCACTGCCCTTATTCTCTGGCCCTCTACGCAACTCCCTCCATTCCCCTACCCTTAGGTTTTGAGTTTTGTGTTTGCATAGCTTCTGTGGTCCATAGTTCCAGCTCTTCTCTTTTCTAGTCTAAGAAATTTCTTAGGACTTTCTTACCCGGAAGACACAGGATGTGAAACAAGGGGAGAGGTGGAGCTCAAGGACTAGAGCTGGGCAGGGGCCTTAGAATAAAAAACCCCGAGAATTTCCCTGTCAGGAGTGTGCAGTGACCCAACTGTCATTAGACCTGTGTCCACTCTAAGGGGCACAAGGGGCGACCGGAAGACACCGATGGACAGGGGAATGGTGAGTGGTGGTTTTGGAGGGAAAGGAAGGAAGCCTAGAAACTGGAAAGGGCCCGCGGTGAAGGGAGGTGAGTTCCATCTTGGGACTCACAGCGGGATTTGGGGGAACTCAAAGAGGAGGGGAGGGCGTGGGGACGGACGTGTGAAAGAGGGGTGTGGGGTGGCTCACTTGGGAAGAAGGGGAATGAAAAGATGTAGGCGGCCTCGTCGTCCCCTCCCACGCCGTCTGGGGGGTGGGGGCGCAGTTGCTTAGCCCCGGTTCCAGAGAGACCCCAGAAGCCCCCCGAGGACACGCTCCTACGCCGAGGAGGGGCGGTGGGGAGGGAGGGGCCGGGGCTGTGGGCGGGGCCTGCCCCGCCCCCGCCCTCCCCGCGCCGCGCGGTCGGGGCGCTCCCCTCGCCGGGCTCCCCTCCCTTCCGCGCTCGTGAGCGAGGGCGGAGCTGGGCTCGCTCCATTGTGGAGCGGAGGGGAGAGGCGCGCGGGAGCCGCGCCGAGCCCCGCCGCCCGCGCTTGCCTCCTGGCCGCCGCGGCTGCACCTGGCCGGCCCCGCAGCCGGGATGCGGCGGGCGCCCGGAACGGGCGGGCAGCGCAGCGGCTCTGGGGACATGTGCGCTGGCCCAGACCGCCCGCGACCATGAGCCTGACCGCCCGCGTCTCCTGCTCCATGCTCAGCTGCTTCGTAAGTGCCTGCCCCACCTGCGGTGGAGGGGGCCCCCCGAACCCCGACGCCGGCTGCACCCGCAGCCCCGCCCAGGGCCGGCCCTCGAGATTCCGAATTTCAGCCCATCCCCCTTCCCAAGGGCCCTGGCAGGGAAAGGGGATGTTACCCCTTTTCTTTACTGGACTTGCTTTCATCTTTGGGTGCCGAGGATTGCCGAAGGCCGGGGATGGGAATTCTGTGACCCATCTTGGCCCCAAAGCCGCTGCCCTTGACTGCAGAGCTCGAGGCCCCGCCCTGAGCGAGTACCTCCTTCACCTCCGCCTCTCGGTCTTGGTCCCGTCCGCCGCATCCTTGCTTGGGGGTGTGGGATGTGGCCAGTAGGCCTTCTGGGATGTTCGGGGGCTGTCTCCCTGACTCCGGTCCCCTCCCCCTTCCACCACTCCACCCCTCACCTGACGCACCAGTCTTTTCTCCTTGACTGTCCCCCAGACAGCCTCTCTTCTCCATCTTCCCTGCCACTCTGCCTCTGCGGGCCTCCGTACCTCTGCATCATTCCCCGCCCTCCCCTCCTCCCTCTTTGGCTTAATGCTCCTTCCCAGCTTCTCCCATCTGTCCGCTCAGATGTTCCCACCCCTCCCCTCCTCTCCTCACCGCCCCCCCCACCCCCCCCTCCCCCATGACTGCCAGGCTTCCTCTCTCTGTCCTTGGGTCTCCTGGTTCCTCCCAGGCGCGTGGATCCCCTCCTCTCCCTGCCCTCCCTGGCGGCTGGGAAAGGAGTTACTTCTGCTTGCTGTGGGATTCCTCAGGAATTCCCCTCAGATCGTCAGGCAGGGCAGGTTGCTTGGCAGGTGGTGGGGGCTTATTAGCAGTGAGGGCCTGACTGGAAAGGAATCCCAGCTCCAAAACACATCCTCCTTTAGAAAGCATCCGTGAAGGCCCTCTAGAGGCATGGGCCTGAATCCCGCGCCTTCCCTCCTCTTTGTCTCTTTCACCCACCAGATTGAAGCCTCAGTGGAGTGGCTTAGGCGGCCTGCGTCCCCTCCTGTCTCTGTGACCAGCTTGCACACCTGGTTCCTATTCCTCAGGGCAGCACTTGCTATTTCCCACTTCTGTCTTACACTTCCAATTCGCCCTTCTTTTGCTTCGTTTCCTCTCCTTCGTTTGGGTAGTTTGGGCTCTACAGGAGAGTCTCTCTTTGGGGAACACAGATTCCCAGTGACTCTGTGGACCTTGCTCTTCTCTTAGGCTTAAGAGGCTTGAGTTCCCCCTCCACTTCATTCCTCACACACCAAGCCAGGCCTCTCTTCCCTCTTTTGGAGACCAGAACCTTTTTAAGGGGTGTATGTGGGTTTATTGTGGGGAGGGGAGCAGCATGAGGCCTGATGGGCCAGGTGGAGCCTGATGACTTAGGGCTGAGGCCTTCCCCACAGGGTGAGGAGGGGCCCCCCAGCCTGGAGTACATCCAAGCCAAGGATCTGTTCCCCCCCAAGGAACTAGTGAAAGAGGAGGAGAATCTGCAGGTAAGGAAGAGCTGGGGGCCCGAGGTGGGTAGAGCTCCCTGCCGGGTTCAGAAAACACCCTCCCTTTCCTCCCCCTACCTCCAAATATCTCCACGGGGATCTGGTATGGGAGCTCTGGCTTCCTGCTCCTGGGTCTCTGGAGGGAGGGGAGTCTGTCTGTCTGTTGTCGAGCCTTGGGCCCCAGGGAAGGCGAGAGCTTTCCTGTGTGGCTGTTGCCTGGTGCTGTTACCATGGAGAAGACTCTTGTCCTGCCTTGGCCCGGCTTTTCCAGAGGGGGTCCTACAAATCAAGGGTTGGAGAGGGGAGTGAAGGGTGACTCATTCCTGGACTGAAGTCCCGCTGCTCCTGGCAGGTGCCCTTCACAGTGCTGCAGGGCGAGGGAGTGGAATTCCTGGGCCGCGCCGCTGATGCCCTCATCGCCATCTCCAACTACCGGCTGCATATCAAGTTCAAGGACTCTGTCATTAACGTGAGTTCCAGTCTTGTTCTCCCACACCCAAGCCACAATCGCGGTGAAATTCAGGGTGGGATTGCATCAGTGCTCCACTTGATTGCATCTCCAAAGAGTTGGGGTTCCCTTCTTTTTCTTACTGTCTCTCAGCGGAAGGTCTGTCTTTCTATCTCTGTCACTCTCCCTCCCCGCCCGACTTCTCTCTCTCCTTCGTTCTGTTGCTGGCCCTTCTAGGGGCATAGTGACTTGGTTGGAAGAGTGCCACTTACCAACTGTGTGACCTTGATCAATCACTCAGCTGAGGTGCAATTTCCTCCTTAATAATACGGTGTGAAAACACCTGCCTTGTGGTTTCTGGTGATTTTTAATTGGGGTCACATATGTGGAGGACCCAGCACAGTTACCAGGCCCTCAGCAGGATGTCTGTAAATGTCGGTTTCCTTCCTTCTGCTGATGCATCGACCTCTGGGCGGAGGTGGGTGAGGAGTGACGTGGAGCAGGGGGTCTGAGCGCCAGTCTGCCCTTCCTTCCCAGGTCCCCCTCCGGATGATTGACAGCGTGGAGAGCCGGGATATGTTCCAGTTGCACATCGCCTGCAAGGACTCCAAAGTGGTGAGGTGAGAATGACGGCGCCTCGCTCAGGTCCTCTTACCTTAATCTTGCTGAGACCTCCTACTGCAGGGTTTCTCTGGAGTGAGAAGGGAAAATTACTGTCTCCCCTTTCCCATTTGGAAGAGACAGTGAAAACGTTGTCTGAGTTGGCAGAATAAATTTTCTGACCCACAGTGTCTTGACTAAAGAAATGGGGATAATGCCCATGGGGTTTTCATAAGGGTTAAATGAGATGATGCACCTGAGAGCACCTAGGGTGTTACCTGGCACAGAGGTCTCACGTTGGGATTTTTTCTGGTGGTCCAGTGGTTAAGACTCCGAGTTCTCAATGCAGGAGGCCTGGGTTCGATCTCTGGTCTGGGAAATAGATCCCAGATGCCACAACTGAGACCCAGCATGACCAAATAAATAAATAATTTTTTAAAAAGAAAAAAAAGCACTCACATTGTTGTTGCTCATTTATTTATCCATTTAACATGAATTTATTGAACACTCTATGCCAGACTGTTGTAAGCTCTAGGGATATAGCAGGGAACAAATAGACATAATTTTCTGCCCTCATAGAGCTTGTATTCCAGTGGGGTGGTATGAACAGTAAATATGAAGTGAATAAAATATGTTGGCTGCCCAAGTTGCTCAGCGATAAATAATCCACCTGCCAAGGAGGAGATGCAGGTTCGATCTCTGTGTCGGGAAGACCTCCTGGAGAAGGAAATGGCAACCCACTCCAGTATTCTTGTCTGGGGAATGCCGTGGACAGAGGAACCTGGTGGGCTACAGTCCATGGGGTCGCAAGAGTTGGACACAACTTAGCGACCAAACAGCAGCAGTAGCAGAATGTATTAAATGGTAGTGAAAGTGAAAGTTGCTCAGTCATGTCCGACTCTTTGCAACCCCGTGGACTATACAGTCCATGGAATTCTCCAGGCCAGAATACTGGAGTGGGTAGCCTATGCCTTTTCCAGGGGATCTTCCTGACCCAGGAATCAAACCAGGGTCTCCTGCATTACAGGTGGATTCTTTACCAACTGAGCTATCAGGGAAGTAGTGTAAAAGTAAAAAATAGAGCAGGGGAAGGGGGTATGGAGTGCTATGGGGGTGAAGGTTGTAGCTTTAAACAAAATGATCAGAGAATCAGAGAATGGATGCAATGAAAAGGTGACATTTGAGACCTGAAGAAAGTGAGCTGTGGGTATTTGGGAGAAGTGTGTGCCAGACAGAAGGACCAGTGCATGCAAAGGCCCTGAGGCGGGTAGGAACCTGGCACAGTGGCAAGGAGGCCAGCATGGCTGGAGTGGAGTGCACGTGGGTTAGGATAGGGGGATACAAGATCAGAGAGGTCGGGAGGGCGTCAGGCTGTCATAATGATTGGCTTTTACTTGAGGGACGTGAAAAAAACCCCTGGAGGGTTTTGCACAAAGGAATGACGTGGTCTAATTATGGAATCACTCTGGCTGCTGTATTGAGAGGAAATGGAAGCAGGATGGGGGTGAAAGCTAGGGCAGAAGCTGGGAGACTAATTAAGAATCTGTTGCAGTTACTCCAGGTGGGAGGTCATGATGGCTGGTTCAGATTGGTAGCAAACAAAATGGTAAGAAGTGGTCAGATTTTTGAAGGTAGAGGTGACAGGATTTGCTGACAGATTGGATATGAGAGAAAGAGGGATGACTCTAAGGATTATTAAAAGGATAATAAGACTGATAAGAACCTACTCTCTAGCACAGGGAACTCTAGTAAATACTCTGTAAGGACCTTTATGAGAATAGAACCTAAAAAAGAGAGGATATGTGTATAACTGACTCACTTTGCCGTGCACCTGAAACTGGCACAGCATTGTAAATCAATTATACTCCAATAAAAATTAATTTTTTAAGGAAAGGATGCCCAGTTTAGAGCCTGCTGTGTGCTCAGGACTGTTGGCATTCAGAACAGGAATTCTCATTGCCCTTCCCTTCAGGGAGATTAAAGTCTAGTTGCGGAAGGAAGACTTAATCTGTGGGAGAGGGTCTTCCATCTACTCAGTACAGCAGCCAGAGTGATTCTATAATCAGACCACATCATTCCTTTGTGCAAAACCCTCCAGCTCAAGTAGGCTCTGGGAAAACTTACTGTTTAATACTCCCAGCACATTAAGAATAACAGAGGAAGGGGTCTGTGGAATGGGTTAGGCTGGGAAGGCCTCAAGGAAGAGGTGGGCCTACAGCTCTCTTCAGAATATCTGGAAGACATGGCTAGGCTGAGAGGAGACATTACTAAGCGGAAGTGAAAACACCAGGAGACAGGACTTCTTCCCTGAAACAGAAGGCTTGTGCTGGGGAGTTGTGGGAGATAATACAAGGGGTAAGAGACATCCAGGGCTAGAGTTTTAAAACTTTTTTGATTTTTAAAGTCTTTGTTGATTTTTGTTACAATATGGTTTCATTTTTATGTTTTGGCTTTGGGCCATGAAGCATGTGGGATCTTCGCTCTCTGCCCAGGGATCGAATCCACACCTTCTGCACTGGAAAGCAGGGAAGTCCCCCAGGGCCAGATTTGATAGCACTTGGATTTAAGAAACAGGCTCCATTAGAGGGGATTCTTTTTTTTAAGAAGGGATTCTTATGTCTCAAAAATAGGAGTTCTTGAGAAGAGAATTACCACCCTGTGACAGTGTCCCTTGGGTGTTGGCCAGTGTCCCTGGTCCTCCGCACGGTCCTCTCCCCACACCTTCCTGGGGCTGGGTCTTTGGCCCTCCTGGCCCCTGCACACACTCGCCTCTTGCCTCACTTCATGGCTTCTTGCCTGGCAGGTGCCACTTCTCCACGTTCAAGCAGTGCCAAGAGTGGCTGTCGCGGCTAAGCCGGGCCACAGCGCGACCTGCCAAGCCCGAGGACCTCTTTGCCTTTGCCTACCATGCCTGGTGCCTGGGGCTGACTGAGGAGGACCAGCACACCCACCTGTGTCAGCCAGGTGAGGCCCGGTGGCTCTCTGTGCGGCACTCCTTGTCTCCTGCTCCTCCTCCCTCTTGGCCCCGGGCCCTCGATGCTGACAGGCGCGGGGGTTTGTTGCAGGTGAGCACATACGATGTCGGCAGGAGGCTGAGCTGGCAAGGATGGGCTTTGACCTGCAGAATGTCTGGAGGGTCTCGCACATCAACAGCAACTACAAGTGAGAGGCTGGGGGGCAGGGAACCCAGACCTCCTCCCCGGGTGGGTAGAGCAGGGTGGGCACAGTTCCTGGCTCCCTGAGGGCGGGGAGCTCCTGGTCCCTCTCCCCACAGAGCCGTCCCAGGGGACCTTGTGATCACAGGTCTCTAACCAAGCTCCATGACCCCCTCTGGTCTTTACGCAGGCTGTGCCCCAGTTACCCCCAGAAGCTGCTGGTTCCTGTGTGGATCACAGATAAAGAGCTGGAGAACGTGGCTTCCTTCCGCTCCTGGAAGCGGATTCCCGTGGTTGTGTATAGGTGAGGCAGTGGGGACCGAGGCATCAGTGAGACGTTCTTGGTGCATTGAGGACAGTCAGAGGTGGAGGTCTGCGGTAGTGTGGTTAACCGGGAATTGACGCTCTTCAGAAACTGGCTGTGAAATAACTTTATAAGAAAAGCTGCTTTAGTTGTTTTTTTCTAAGGATGAGGGCTTTTGGGAAATGTATTCACTTGCTTTTTTTCTTTGCTTTTTTTTGAGGACGTGTGTGTGTGTGTGTGTGTGTGTGTGTGTGAGAAATATTGCATTAAAATGGGTTGGTAAACCAAGGCCTGTGAACCAAACCGGCTTATAGCCTATTATATGTATAGCCTGTGAGCCATGAATGAGTTTTAAATTTTTAAAGGGTTATTTTAAAAAAGAAAACACAAGAATACGCGACAGAGACTGGCTATGACTCCCAAAACTGAAACTTTATTGCCTGGTTCTACACCAGAAAACATTTGCAAGGCAGGTAGTAGCCAGGAGGTTCAGAGTTGCTCATGCTCTGGGCTCAGGCTCGTTCTCCTGCTGGGGGTTTCTACCTGGAGCAGGGGCTGTGTAGACGTGATGCGTCAGTGTCACTGTGGGAATCCACAGTGCATCTGAGAAATGTATGTGACGATGCTTTGTACGCTGTAAAGCCTTCAAGAGATGTTAAGGGTTTTTGGTTCCTCTTATTGTGGCCTGGATGATCGGGTGGTCCCTGCTGGCTCTGGAGATCTCGGCTTGGCCCCATGGGCTCTCAGTGGTAGGCCTCTGGGGGTTGTGAACGCCAAGGGCATGATAGTTTCTTCTGTTTTGTCAGACACCTACGCAATGGGGCTGCCATTGCCCGCTGCAGCCAGCCCGAGATCAGCTGGTGGGGCTGGCGCAATGCTGATGACGAGTACTTGGTCACATCCATTGCTAAAGCCTGTGCCCTGGACCCAGGGCCAAGGACCAGTGGGGGCTCCCTCAGCACCGGGAACAGCGATGCCAGCGAGGCATGTGACACTGACTTCGGTAAGGTGTGGGTGGTGCTGGCCCCCAGGGGAGTAGGCCGCCACCTTGGCCTTCTGAGCTCCCAGGGAGATCCCAGGGCAAGGGGGAGGAGAAGCAGACACGTACAGGGCGTCTGGGTTCCTGCCTTTTGGGAGGCGGGGGCAGCGGTGTGAGGGGTCTTGTGAAAGGCAGTGGCCGGGGCAGGGTGCTCCTGAGCGCTGACCGACACAGGGTCTTCCCCCTGCCATGTGTGTATTCAGACTCCTCGCTGACGGCATGCTCCGGAGTAGAGAGCAGCACGGCCGCCCCCCAGAAGCTGCTGATCCTGGATGCCCGATCCTACACGGCGGCGGTGGCCAACAGGGCCAAGGGCGGCGGTTGTGAGTGCGAAGGTACTGCTGTTGCCTCAGCGCCCGCAGCCAGTCTGGGTGCGGGGCCTTGGGGGCAGTCTGTGCGTGGAAGGAGCCCAACAAACTCGGCCTGGGATCAGGACCCCGCTTGCTGGCTGTGATTGTGCTGAAATTGCTTAATCTGTCTGCATTTTATTTTCCTGTCTGCAAAATGGGGACGGACTATCCCTCACAAAGTTGTTGGACGATTAGAGGTTACATGTATAAAGTTCCTGGCACAGAGTAGCTGCTGTTTGTTGAGGATTTACTGTCCCTTGTCATTACTAGTCATACTCAGGTGTCACTGTCACTCGTGCTGTTGTTCCCATTATTAGTATACGGCACTTGAGATAAAAGGGTATTGAGATTTCCAAGCTACACTGAGTTCTAGCCTGGAGTGGCCTGCCCTGCCAGGGGAGCTTCGCCCGCTGGGACCGCTCCTCTTCTGGCGGCCTGTTTCCAGGATGTCCTTATACTCCGCTTTCCTCACGTGTGTGCAGAGTACTACCCCAACTGTGAGGTCGTGTTCATGGGAATGGCCAACATCCACGCCATCCGGAACAGCTTCCAGTATCTCCGTGCTGTGTGTAGCCAGATGCCGGATCCTAGCAAGTAGGTGTGCCCAGCTCCGATTCCATCCGCCCTCCAGCTTCATCCCTCACCCAGTGCTTCTCGTGCTGGGAAGATCCGGTGGGGAGGTGGGAGTTCTGAGGTACCAGGAACTCCAGGGCCTGGGTGCAGTGAGCCAGTGCCAAGAACGCTGCTTCCGTTTCTCAGCCAGCGCTTTGGCGCGGCTGCAGGACACTGGGTTCCTTTTGTTTGAATTAGTTGTCCTCCAAGAACACACAGAACTGGGAGGCAAAGTGGCTGGATGCACGTGTGATGCTTCCTGGATTCTCTGTTGATCTGCAGAGTGTCTTGTTGGCTGTAGGTTGGCCATAGATGTCTCTTGGCAGGAGGGCCCTGGGCTAGACCTCGGCTTCAGCTCTCGCGGGGGACTTTGTTAAGGTGTGGGGGGCCAGGCCAGCAGAGAGACTGCTGCAGCCTCGGCCCCCTTAGTGACAGGTGTGACCTCTGCCCCCGCGTAGCTGGCTGTCGGCTCTGGAGAGCACCAAGTGGCTGCAGCACCTGTCGGTGATGCTGAAGGCGGCGGTGCTCGTGGCCAACACGGTGGACCGGGAGGGCCGGCCCGTGCTGGTGCACTGCTCGGACGGCTGGGACCGCACGCCGCAGATCGTCGCGCTGGCCAAGATTCTCCTGGACCCGTATTACAGGACGCTGGAGGTACTCAGAGGCCTTGGGCGGGAGAGAGCAGGACGAGGGGAGTTGGCAGAGGTACTGAGCCCCCGGATCTGCCTGGGGCTCTTTCCCCGGAGGACACGGGTGGCTTGGAGTCCTCCTCCAGGTTTGGGCCTGTTCTTCTCTGAAGCTGCCAGGCCCCTGATTTGGGCATTCCTGGCGGGGAGCACCGTGGCCTTCCCAGAGAGGCCCTCCGCTCGAACCCCCTCTTGGTTGCAGGGTTTCCAGGTGTTGGTGGAATCTGACTGGCTGGATTTCGGGCACAAGTTCGGGGACCGCTGCGGCCACCAGGAGAATGCAGAGGACCAGAACGAGCAGTGCCCCGTGTTCCTGCAGTGGCTCGACTCTGTCCACCAGCTGCTCAAGCAGTTTCCCTGCCTGTTCGAGTTTAACGAGGCCTTCCTGGTAAGTGGTGCGCCCGAGGCCGGGGTGGGGGCCGGCGGCCAGCCTGGTGCCAACTGGCTCGCTGTCTAGGTGAAGCTGGTGCAGCACACCTACTCCTGCCTCTACGGCACCTTCCTGGCCAACAACCCCTGTGAGCGAGAGAAGCGCAACATCTACAAGCGGACCTGCTCTGTGTGGGCCCTCCTGCGAGCCGGCAACAAGAACTTCCACAACTTCCTCTACACGCCTGGCTCAGAAATGGTGAGTCCGGCCCTTATTCCCCAGGTGCATCTCGGGGGCCTGCGGGGCGCTGTCCTGAGGCAGTGGGAAGAACAAGGACCCAGAGGCTTGGGAAGGAACGGGACCCGAGACATCTCCAGAACCCGGGTACGGGGCTGCTTCCCTAGGTCCTGCATCCCGTGTGTCACGTCCGGGCGCTGCACCTCTGGACAGCCGTGTACCTGCCGGCGTCATCTCCGTGCACACTTGGGGAGGAGAGCATGGACCTCTACCTCTCCCCGGTGGCTCAGAGCCAGGAGTTCTCCGGCCGCTCTCTGGACAGGTAAGAGGGGCTCCTCTCCCCTCTCTGCTACCAAGGCATTGGCTGCTTTGTGTCTTGCCTACATGCTGTTCTCTTCCTTTTATGAGAGACTTTAAAGTAACTTCTTGAGTCATTTGAAGGCAAAACTTGGCTCAGGGCTGGTAGCTAGCTTGGAGGGCACTCTGTATGTTCTCAAGGCCCTCCCTTAAGATAAGAGTGGTTACCTTTTTTCCAAGCTGCCATCATCCTTTGTGACACACCCAGGAGAGAGGAGAACAGAACTGAAAGGACTGTTTCAGGAAGGCTTGTGGGAATGGTCCTGATTTATATTAACTGATAGAAGAGATGCGGAGCTTGCTATCTCAGTAATAACCTTTGCTGTGTCCAGAGCTCCCAGCAGCATCTGGCTCTCAGGGAAATGGGTCCCCCGAAGCGGAACGTCCTTCACTTCCTCAGAATTTAAAAAGAGGCATAAAAATTAAAGTTACATTCTGGCTGACTATCTGGGGGGAGGTAGAATGGAGACTGGTTAAATTATAAGAGTAATATCTGTTGGTTTTTTTTTTTAAACCAAACAATATAGACGTAGAAAATGACAGTCCTCCCCGCCTGCTCCTTGTCCCCACAGGTGTTCACTGTTGCCATTTTGGTGCCTCCCAGATGTTTATCTCTACACTAGACCTATCACTCTTACATAGAAACATTTTTTAAAATACAATGACTGTATTTTTCACATTGTTCTGAAAATTGTTTTCCTCACTGTGCATCAGGTTGTCAACCCATGATAGCACATATAAAGCTGCTTTTTTGTTTTTAGTGGCTGCATAAGTCCGAAAGTAGAGTGTATGGAAATTTACATAACCGATTTTCAATTGATCATTTAAGTGATTTCCATTTTTTAATCATTATAGGGGGTGTTTTACTCAACATATCTTTAAAAAGTTTTTTGGTACAACACACACAGTATTTGCTTGCCCCGTGGCTCAGCTGGTAAAGAACCTGCCTGCTAGTGCAGGAGATGCAACAGGCGTGGGTTTGATCCCTGGGTGAGGAAGATCCCTTGGAGAAGGAAATGGCAACCCACTCTGGTATTCTTGCCTGGAAAATTCTATGGACAGAGGAGCTTGGTGGGCCACAGTCCATGGGGTCACAGAGTTGGACATGATTGAGTGCATGTGCACGCACACACACAATATTTACCATCTAAACCATTTTTTAAAACAGTAGTGTTACCATATACCTTGCATTTATGCTAGTGTTTCTGCCAGATAAATACTTAGAAATGAAAATACTGGGTTCAAAGGATATGTTCATTTCAAATTTTGATCTTTGTTTATTGGTGGAAGGTTTTTAAAACTGAAATATAATTTAACATAATTGGTTGAATATTATAAAGAAAAACAAAACCCCCAACCTCCTAAGCTATAAATTTTAGGTCTTTGGAACTGAGTCCATTGTCAGGGGCCTATGGATAGGCTTCAGGAATTCTATGATATTCTTATTCCGCAAACTATGCAGAATTGGGGTACCAGTTCATAAGTTTCCTTTTCCAGGAGACGGGCCATAACTTTTTATCAGATTCTCAGCATGTTCTGTGACCCATTTAACAACCATTGCCTTAAATCAATATCTAATTTTTCAAATCAATAAGTGTTTCTTAAATACCTACAACCTGCCTAGGACTGTACTAAGTTTTACAGGCTGTACCAAAGACATAGAAGATATTGATCCTATTTAAGATACTTGAAGTTAGCATCTAAGTAAATAAATAGAATGTGTCTTATTCAAAGCTATTAGAGAAATGGGAAGTAAGAAAGGGGTCATTTGGTGACTGTTGATGCAGAGGTTTTTGTGGAAGACCAAGCAGGAACCATGGCTTTATTTGTTTGTCTGTTTTATTTATTTACTTATTTTTATATTTATTTGCCTATACCTGGTCTTAGTTGCAGCATGTGGGATCTAGTTCCCTGACCAGGATTTGAACCCAGGGCTCCAGCATGGCAGCACGAAGTCTTAGCCCCTGGACCACCTGGGAAGTCCCAGGAACCATGGCTTTTTAGTGTCCCTAGTACCTAGCTCAGGGCCTGGAACATAATAGGTGCTTTAGTAAACGCTTAAATGAACAAGTGAATGGAATAAAGGGAGTTATAAGCTTGGTAACAAGGTTAGTGGAGGAGGGGTCCAAAAGAATAGGATACATGAGAGAGAATTTCTTTTAAAAAGAAGCACCACCTCTTTGGAGCTGGAGCTGGCAGGGGTTGGAAAGGGGCATTAAAAAAAAAAATTTATTTGTTTACCTTTAGCTATGTTGGGTCTCAGTTGTGGCGCACAGGCTTCTCTAGTGGAGGCGTGGGCCCAGTAGTTGCAGTGCACAGGCTTAGTTGCCTCAAGGCATGTGCGATCAGTTTCCTGAGCAGGGATCGAACCTGAGTCCCCGGCATTGGAAGGTGGATTCTGAACCACTGGACCAGCAGAGAATCCCTGGGAAGGGGTATTTTGAAGAATAGAAAGAAAGAAACAGGATAGTCCTTGAGGGCTTTTATACTGAGGAATTTATTTTGATTCAGGTGTCAGTAGTAAGTCATTGTGACCTGGTGGCAAAGGGATTTTTTGAGAATTAACCAGTGAGCAGGGCAGTCGGAAGCACGGAGGCCAGCCAGCACTGTTGTAATTCAGATATGAAGGGAAGAGCCCTTGGAAAAGAGAAAGAATTAAATTCAGATGCTGTTGAGAAGTCATTAGCAGTCTGTGGTGTTGACTGAATGTTGGAAGGTGGAAATGAAGAGTTAAGAGACCAAAGTCAGGTCCCAAATCTCTGAGCTTGGAAACCAGGAGGATATTAGTACCATCTGTAGAAACTGAGGTCAGTGGGAAAGAATCTGGCTGCAATGCAGGAGATGCGGGTTTGATCCCTGGGTCAGGAAGATCCTCTGGAGAAGGAAATGACAACCCATTCCAGTATTTTTGCCTGGAAAATTCCATGAACAGAGCAGCCTGGCGGGCTACAGTCATGGGATCACAAAGTCAGACACGACTGAGCAACTGAGCATGCCTACACGTAGACACTGTAAAGTTGAGAAGATGAGTCAGTTCGGAGAGATGGAAGAGATACATGCAGGTTGGGACTGAATACCTTGACAACAAAGTGGAGGTGTGCTGTAGGCAGTTCAAGGTGGAGTTGGATTTCATGGATAAGGGTTTTAAAGGAAATAGTTTCTCTCACAGCTGACCTGACTCACCATCGGTTCTACCTTTCCTTAGATCAAAAACATCCTGCTCTCTTTCCTCTTCTTCCATTAAAGTCCAACACATTCTTCCATCCCCAGCTCAGATTCTGTCCTCTCTGCGTAGCTGTCCCTGACCACATTTGCTGGATTAAGTTCTCTTGTGGTTCCAGACCCCTCAGATATCGTTCTTGCTCCCCTCATTATTAATTAGACCTTTGGTGCACACAGGACTCAGCTGTGGAGGACAGCAGGCTGTTGCTGTTGTTGAGTCTGGCTAAAGAGTACAGGAATTCTTCATACTTTTTACTTCTTTTGTGTGTTTGAAGGTTTCATAATAAAAAGTAAAACAAGGAAAGAAAAAAGCTAAAAAGTTGCCAAGCTGAGATTCAAGCTTGGACTGTGGGACTCCAGAGGCTATAATCATAATGTTGTTATTGCCCTCTTGGAATGGAATCTGTTAACCACACCGACACACAGCAATCAAAATCGATCACAGAGTAAAATCAAACACAAGAGTACTTTTATAGAAGTATTAATAATTTTCAAAAACCAAACACTTAAAAAAAAATCAGCTCTATTGTAACTTCATTTGAGGGATTTTTCAGCGTAGGCTTGGCTGAGTGAGGCCTCTGAAAAAGAAAGTCCAGCAAAGTCTCCAGTTTCCTGGCAAATTTTCCTCAGTTTTGTTGCTCTGAACACTTTATAGAACTGTATTAAAAATTAGGGTGGTCATTCTTTTTTTTTTTTCAACTTTTTATTTTATATTGGAGTATAGCCAATTAACACTGTTGTGATAGTTTCAGATGGACAGCATAGGGACCCAGCCATACATATACGTGTATCCGTTCTCCTGCAAACTCCCTTCCCATCCGGGATGAGGGCAGTCATTCTTGAAAATGTTGGTTGCCCATTTGGTGTACACGAATGTCTCTAGAACTGTATACTGGGGAAGTTTCCATGGTGACTTGGGCCTCAGAGGAGTATGCTGCTGCTAAATGGTTGTAAAAAGCCATGCTGGTCTCTGCTGTGATGGAGGAATAATTTATAATAAGGAAGGTTATAAAAACAAGGTCATGAGTGAAGCCTTAATAAGTTTGTGGTTGGCTACCTATACTTGGAATCCTCATAGCATCTCCGCAAAGTAATTTATCGTCATTTTATAGAGGAGAGAAACCAAGTGTCTGAGAGGTTAAATAGCTCACTTGTAGTCATGTATCTAATCAGTGTCAGAACCGGTATCATCCAACTCCAGGACCTACCATCTTTCTGTCTTGCTGTGTGTAATAGGGGTGGTTGCATATAAGGTTTGAGGCTGAGTTGTATTCCTGGCTGGAAGGGTAGGTTGGAAGGCATCAGCTTAGAAGGCAGCTGAGGTTATGGAAGTGGTTGAGGATTCAAGGGGGACTGTGAGGAAAGACTGATGAAAACTGAGGACAGAGCCTGGGTTAGGCTCCTGAGGATAGGATTCAAGTCCTCCACTTTTGCAGAGCAGACTCTACTTTTTTGGCCATGCTGTGTGGCATGCAGAATCTCAGTTCCCTGACCAAGGATCGAACCTGCACCTCCGGCAGTGGAAGCGTAGCATCTTAACCACTGCCAGGGAAGCCCCAGAGCAGACTTTTGCAGTCAGCATTGGCTATTTGTATTTTTTTAATTTTTTAATTTAATTAATTAATTTATTTATTTTTGTATTTTTTTTAAAGATTTATTTATGTATTTAATTTTTTTGGCTGTGGAGGGTCTTCTCACTGCAGTGGCTTCTCTTGTTGCAGAGCATAGGCTCTAGGTAAACGGGCTCAGTAGTTGTGGTACACGGGCTTTAGTTGCCCGCGGCATGTGGGCTCTGCCTGGATCAGGGATCGAACCTGTGACCCGTCTTGACAGGCAGATTCTTAACCACTGGACCGCCAGGGAAACCTGAACATTGGTTATTTGTAATCTTAAATGTTATTTCTTGTGAACTCTGGCTTTGATAGCTTTGATGACCCAATTCTGTCTGTTGGAGGTAGCTCTCAGTTCCTGACCTGGAAGTGGTGTGTTGTCTTTGCAGATTACCTAAAACGAGATCTATGGATGATCTTCTTTCTGCCTGTGACACAAGCAGCCCCTTGACACGCACATCCAGTGACCCCAACCTGAATAACCACTGTCAGGAAGCCAGAGCAGGCCTGGAGCCCTGGCATGGCAATCCCGAGGCATCGCAGACCACCTTCGTGGAGTCTGGGGCTGGAGGTCCCCAGCAGGCTATAGGGGAGATGGCGGTTCCTCCCTCGGTGCCCAGCAGCCAGAAAGACTACTTGAGCAATAAACCTTTCAAGAGTCATAGAAATGGTTCTCCAGGTTACAAACCGCTTGGTGCCGCAGTGCCCCAGGAAACGAAGAGCAGCACTTCTGATCCTGAGATCAAAGCCCTCGCAGAGACTCAGGCCCCAGTTCCAGGCCCTCCTGCCCAGGACGAGCTGGCTAGGACTTGGGATGGCACAGAGGAGCCACCTGAACACTGTCCTGAAAAAGCAGCTATCCACGCACTCTCTAAAGTTGTCTCGGACGAGTGTGAAGGAACTGGTGACTTTCCTGAGTCCTCCCAGAACCCCCTCCCAGGTGCCCCCCAGCACGCCCCGCTGGACTGTGTGCTGGGCATGCCCTCCAGATGTGCCCCAGATCATGGTCTGGGCACCCTCTGCAACCCACCGAGTGCTACCTGCCAAACTCCTCCTCCAGGCCCCAGCGCCGACGTTCTCAGCCAGGACCCCCGAGGGTCTGCGGCAAGTGTCGCCCACCAGGAACCGCCTAGTTCTGTGCTAGATACGGTTCCCGGGGAGGAAGACAGCGGCAAGAGAGGGAATCATAGGAATGGGCAGTTACTGGAGAACCCCCGCTTTGGGAAAGTGCCATTGGAATTGGCCCGAAAGCCGATTTCTCAGAGCCAGATCAGCGAGTTCTCTTTCTTAGGGTCCAACTGGGACAGCTTCCATGGGATGGTGACTTCACTCCCCAGTGGGGAGACCACCCCTCGACGGCTGCTTTCTTACGGCTGTTGTAGCAAGAGGGCGAGCAGTAAGCAGATGCGGGCACCGGGGCCCTGCTTTGGGGGCCAGTGGGCTCAGAGAGAAGGGGTGAAGTCGCCAGTCTGTTCTAGTCATTCCAATGGACACTGTACTGGTCCAGGTGGAAAAAACCACCAGATGTGGCTGTCTGGTCACCCAAAGCAGGTCCCCAGCACGAAGCCTGTCCCCCTGAGCTGCCCTTCTCCAGTGCCTCCTCTCTACCTGGACGACGATGGACTCCCCTTCCCCACGGATGTGATCCAGCACAGGTTACGGCAGATTGAAGCAGGGTACAAGCAGGAGGTGGAGCAGCTCCGTCGACAGGTGCGTGAGCTTCAGATGAGGCTGGATATCCGCCACTGCTGCGCCCCTCCAGCGGAGCCCCCCATGGACTATGAGGACGATTTTGTAAGTACTCACGGCCTGCCCCCAGCCTCTCGTTCTGTCCGCCCATCCAGCCTTTCAGCCGCCGCACAGCCGTTCACTGGGTACTTGCTGTGTGCCCCTGAGTTAGGGGGTTGGGCTGTAGGATGAGAGACCTTGCTCTGCTCTCAGTGAGCTCACAGTCTATTGGGAGAGTCAAGCCCACCATTAGAACGCTGTTCTTAAGTGACAAAGATGGTCGGAAGCGTCAGGTGTCGGGGGCCCGAGGGGAGTCAAAGGTCAGGGAAGGCTCTCCTAAGAAGATAATGCTTGAGCCGAGGGCTGAAGAATGGGTCACTTTTAGCCATACAGACAGTGAAAAAGGAACCCCCTTTGCAGAAGCATGGAGGTACTCCAGGGGTGTGGCTTGAATAAAGCTGTGTGTGTGTTTGCACATGTGCGTGCATGCATGCACACTTGTGCTGGGACTGTGAGGGAGGGAGTTGGTAGTGTGGTGAGAGGTGATACTGGGAAGTGGAAAGGGATTAGAAAGCTCAGCTTGAGAGCTCGTTTTGTGTGGATTCAGGGCAGTAAAAGTTTTGGCTAGTGAATCGTATGATCAGAGTACTGCCCCAGAGGGACTGCCCTGGCGGTCCAGTGGTTAAGATTCTGAGTTCCCAATGCAGGGGACTGGATTCCATCCCTGGTCAGGAAACTAAGGGCATGGCTTGCCCCCCTCCAAAAAAAAAATAGTACTGAAAAGAGTACTACCCCAGCACCAGTGTGTCAAGTGGATGAAGCAGCTGAAAACCAGGGAGGCTGGTTAGGGCCTTTTGGAATAAGCCAGGTAGGTGAGAGATGACGAGGCACAGCAGTCTTCAGGGAGCTTCTTGGAAGAAGCTCTAGAACATTCCCAACTGCCTGCTGTGCACTTCTCTGCTGGTGGGATGGTCAGGGCTAACAGCTTCTTTCTTACTGTTTAGAGTGATGGTTTAGAACAGGAGTCAGCAGATTTGTTTGGTAAAGGGCCAGATAGTAAATAATTTAGGCCCTGAGAGACGTATTGTCTCTTTACAGCTACTAGGCTCTTCTGTCATAGCACAGAAGCAGCCATAATGACCATGTGTTAATGAATTGAGTGTGGCTGTCTTCCAGTGAAACCTGACTTACAGAAGCAGGCAGTGGGCCAGTTTGGCCTGTGGGCCAGAGCTTGCGAATTCCTGGTTTAGAATGTAACAGAAGTATTCTTTCCATACCGTGATGCAGCATGTTGGTTAAGAGCATGGGTCTGAAGCCAGAATGCTAGGTCCAAATCCCACATTTACTGCCTATCAGCTCTTAACTCTCTCTGTGGCTTTATTTCCTTATTTGTAAAAGTGGGGATAATAATAGGGTACATTTATAAGATTGTCATGAATTAAATAAGTTCCTGCATGTGATGTACTTAGAAACAGTGCCTGGCACATAGTGAACAATCAGTGTTAGAGATGATGAAGGTGATGGTGGTAATGCCTTGGCTTTTTCTTTAGACGTGTTTGAAGGAGTCAGATGGCAGTGATACAGAAGATTTTGGCTCTGATCACAGTGACGACTGCCTTTCAGAAGCCAGCTGGGAACCTGTTGATAAGAAAGAGACTGAGGTATGTCCAGGCAAATACGTGGCGGGTCCTTCTGCAATGTAGGGAGTTCTCATAATTTTCAGAGACGAGTGATGTGTTCTCCCCTAGTTGACTCTCTGTAGGCAAGTAGTAGCCACCTAGACCTTGTCCTTTTCTTCCAGGATGCTTTCCTTGCTGCAGTGTTGCTGGAATTTTTCCTTTTGCCCTCTGTTAGGTGACTCGCTGGGTTCCAGACCACATGGCATCACATTGCTATAATTGTGACTGTGAATTCTGGTTGGCCAAACGCAGACACCATTGCAGGTAAGATGTTTTATGTGATTCAGTAGGGCTCGTAAAGCCATAGAGAGGGACGTAGATACGAACTAAATTGAGTTAATCTGAAAACGGAGATACCTTTATAGGAACTAGTTTTGCTTTTTCCCAACTTTCCTCTTTATTTACTCACGTAAGGCCTTTTAAAGTATCATTCATTCTCAGTATGTCAGCATCTCTGATGAACTCTTCCTTCTCTGTGCTTTGGCAGAAATTGTGGAAATGTATTTTGTGCTGGCTGCTGCCACCTGAAGTTGCCCATTCCTGATCAACAACTCTATGACCCAGTTCTCGTCTGTAACTCATGTTACGAACATATCCAAGTATCTCGGGCCAGGGAACTCATGAGCCAACATCTGAAGAAGCCCATTGCTACAGCTTCCAGTTGAATGCCAGAGAAGACCTGTCCAATTTTAGCAGGTTTGAAGGGAGGATGTGCTTCAGGTGTAGTTTTTTGAAGGTTCCTTGGTGTGGCTCATGAAATCACAGAGCTCAAAGATACAGTCTTGAGAAATCCTCCTTGGGACCATGAGACTGGAGCAGAGGAATTCCACTTTGGCGGGAGTCCTCTCCTGGTGAGACACTCACCTTGGGGTAGTGGTCCTCATCCAGACCCAGAGTCTGGAAGCTTAACGTTGAGTTGGTGACTCCAGTTTCTTTCTCGTGGGGTCACAAGATGATGATATCATAGATACTGCCTGGTGATGTGTGCCCTAAACAGCAATAGAAAGGCATATGTATAACCAAACTCCAAGTGATAACCAGATCCATCTCTCCTCCACCTTGAAAAAAGCAGATTATAGATATAAGACAGGAATTCCTATCCTGTTTGAAATGAACTATACCCGTACCTCTTCTGTGCTCTGTGTCTGTGCATGAAGGCTCAGTCTTTAGAGGCACTCCCTCTAGTTGCATTAGTTCTGTCTTTCTGTGGAGTTTGGTTTTAAAGACTGGTCCAGCTAGTGGAGGTTTTGCTGTATTTTTCACTTGGCTCATCAGCCAGCATCAGTGAATATTCAGTTTAGGGGGACAATTTTAGGGAGTGAGACCTTTTCAGGAGCAGAGGAAAACTCTGCTGATGTTCAGTCCTGGCAGGAATCAGTTATTTGGAGCTGTGAAGGCAGTAGTCTTTGTTACTCAGAGTGGCAGCTCTGGAGGTAAGCATTGTGAAGGAGAAGGGAAAAGCAGAAATTATCTTTGTGAAATATTTGCTGATTGTGCCCTACCCTTTGCGCCTGACTTTTCCTAGTTGTCCTGGTGCTAACACAGGAGCTACACCTTGATCCTCTCCTGGCATGAAAATAAAACAATGGTTTTTTTTTTTTTTTTTTTTTTTGGTCTTTGTTCCACCCACATGTTGTCTTTCCCTTGGCTGCTGCCTCCTCTGGGTCACACTGCTTCTTATCCTGAACACTTGACACCTTGAGGGTAGAATTTAGCATTTGGTTTTTACCTCCTAGAATACGCTGTTTGGCATGTGAGGGTTTCGGTACAAATGCTGCTGTCTATTTCTGTGCACTTAACAATGGAACCCAAACAGAAGAAGAGAATAAAGCCTTGATACCAAAATTGGGAGAGAAAACGTGTCCATTTGGACCAAACATTGTTTTTGTTTGTTTGTTTTCATCTTAATATGTACCAGTGGCACTTAACCAAAAGATACAGTGATATTAGCCATGTACAGTGGTTAGGACAGATACAGTCTCCTTGACTTATAATGAAACCACTAGGATTTCCTTATATGTTTTCCTTGATTCACTGGTGTAGAAAAGGTAAATTACACTTAGGCTCAGCCTGTTTTAAAACTATGGTAGCTGTCTAACTGCTACTTGTTCATGCTGCTTCCTGGAAAAAAATTTTTTCCTTCGAAAATACCTATGATCTGCATTTAGAACAAGAACTGTTATTTGTCCTGACCTTTTCTTCAGCCCTACAGAGAAGCATATGTGCTTTTTATACTTGCCATGGATGTAACCTAAAAAGTTTTGGTGTATCTAGGTCAGTCTAGCAGAACTTTCTTCCTTTAAATGGAGTTGAATAATGGAGATTTTGTGTCCGGGAAATTCCTGAATTCATTGAAAAAGTAACAAACTATTCCTTGTCTCCGATACGTAAAATAAGCATTTTCTCAGTCATTACAATTTACTGCCAGTTGTGAGTGGCTTTTTAATTAACTCCACTTTCATTGCACTTCGATTGGCGACATTTGAGGAGACTGTATCTGTCTACTTTGAATGGCTGTTTTGAGGGGCTGTCCCATCAATGAACATACTGCATGGCCTTGGAGAGAGACTCTGGGCTCTTAGCTCAGATGTATTCATCAAATACTCCTTTCAGAGCTCTTGTGGGTGTAAGTGACATGATGTGGCCAAAAATCCAAACTGTGCAGTTGCGTTGTGACAAACATGCAATGTGCTGTAAAAACTCAATACAATTTAAATAAAATCTCTATATTAGTGCTGCTTTGTTGGGTCTTCTTCATTTTTAACTTCTAAGGATCCTTAACACTCATTTTTTCTTTTGACCCTGAGAAAGGACTGAAACATTACTCCCCTATCTCCCAGCTATTTCCATGTTTAAAATGGCCCTCTGTTTTAATCAGCACAGCTCCTGCTGTATTGTCATTTATTGATCAGACAGGCCGCTATCCTTGTGGATCCCATAGAATTTGGTCCCATCTGATGTGAGCTTTATTTCTCTTTGTCTAAAAGTTCACCAGCTGGTTGATTAGGCACACAGAATTATACTTATCTTTGCCCGGTTCCCTCCTCATAGGCCCCTGTTTTCTTTCCACCTTGGGTAAATGGTCTTGAGCAAAGCATTGGCTGAAAAGAGTATATTTCAGAACAGATAAAATGCTACTCTTTAAAAGATGAATTTGTGCGCTCAGGGTACTATATACCATCATCGGCATTTTTATTTGGAGAGACAAGTAATTTCAACTGTTAGGACAAATAAGAGCATAGAATTTGTTCTTGAGAATGGCCGGATTTGTTATCACCCACTTGGCACTTGCTGAATTCTAAAGACCCACAGCCCGCTGACGGTCGCGGTTAAGTACACGGGTCTCTGCATTCCATCGCCGGTACCCAGGCAGATCTCTCTGCAGGACGGGACACCAGCCCGCGGGCCGTGGGCCCCACCGCCTCCGGCTCCCTCAGGAGGCCGCCGAGCGAGCACGCCTTCTCCGTGGTGCACGTGGCCCGGGCGCAAAGGGCGGGTCGGCTCGCGCCGCGTGCGGCCGCCCGGCGGCAACTCGAGGCCCCATTGGTCGCGCCGGCGGGCGCCGCGCGGGGCTCGTGCGCCAACGGTCCCCGGGTCCGCGGCGGTGGAGCGCTGGTTGGAGGGGGCAGGGCGGAGCGAAGGCCGCGGCGGGGGGCGGGGGGAGATCGAGAACGGGGTGGGAGAGCCAGGCTTGGCGGGGCGAGGCCCAGGGCCCGGGCGGGGCGATGGAGGAGGCGCTGCTGTCCACCCCCATCAACCCCAACAACTTCCCCGCCAAGCTGTGGCGGCTGGTGAACAGCCCCCGGTACCGCTCGATCCGCTGGGACGGCCGCGGTGAGGGGCTGCTCATCGACCAGCCGCTCTTCGAGGCCGAGCTGCTCAGCCCGCCCGGGGCGGGGGCCGGGGGCGGCGGCGGCGGCGGGGGCGGCGGCGGCGGCGGGGTCGCCGGCGTCGGGGGCGCCGGGGCCGAGCCCGAGCTCTTCAAAACCACCAACTTCACCAGCTTCATCCGCCAGCTCAACCTCTACGGCTTCCGCAAGGTGGTGCTGGGCGGGCCGGGCGCGGCGGGGCCCGGGCCGGGGCCGGGGGGCGGCGGGCCGGCGGGCGACGGGCCGCTCCACCACTTCCACAGCCCGCACTTCCGCCGCGACCAGCCGCAGCTGCTCGTGCACCTCAAGAGGCTCACCAGCGCCAACAAGGCCAAGCTGGCGGCCGGCCTGGAGGTGCCCTGCCGCCCGCCCAACCGCTTCCAGAGGCTCCTCATCACATCGGCCTCGGCCTCGGCCTCCACCTCCCCGCTGCAGCACCAGGAGCCGCCGCCGCCCTCGGGGCCCCGGCCGGAGCCACAGGGTGAGTCCCGTCCCTCCTAGTCTGCCCTCCAGCTGCAGGGCGCTCGGCCGTCGAGGGGGCAACTGCCACGCCCGCGGGCATTTCCTTGGCGGTGGCAGGGAAGCGCCAGGGAGCCGCTGTCGGCCGTGCTTGCCGAGAAGTCGGCCGCGGCCCCGGCATCTGCCCCCTTCCCGCCAGCACCTCTCCTGGACGGGGCCCATGGACGCTGAGGCCCTTCTGTGTCCACTGGCGGTCACGGGGACCTCCGCGTTAGGCTGGCTTTTTTGAGTCTTACTGGAACCCTCATGGGCTCCAAACCTCTATCGCCATGTATCTTCTCGAGACCCGGTCTTTTCACAGCAAACACCTAAAAATAAGTAGGCCTTTGTTGAAGCCCTGGGTCTGGAAGAAACAGAACTGGCTCCTGCGTTCTGATAGGAAGCAGAACAGAGTTCCTATACAGGGTGAGGATATGGCAACTGTCAAGGTGGGAAGGAACAGTCACAGCTGAGAGAACGCAGAACATTTATGCCAGCCCAGGGAAAGTGGTGATCAAGGTATCTTGAGTGGGTGTCTGTCCTTGATGAGCCATGCCGTCTTCCACCCATTGACACATCTAAGAAATCTTGGAAGAAGTGTTCTCGCAGTGATCATATTGTAGATTCCGGAGTAATGTGTAGAACCGTAGGCGTTATTTATGTAACTTGAAAGCAGAAATATAATAATATATATTCCTGTTTTTACCAGGTATTGCTCATAGGTAGAATGAATTGGCTAAACAGTTCTTTCATAGCTGATTAGACCCAATGCCTATTTAAGGTGTTACGATTAGACACACATAAAACCAATTTTTTTTTTTTTACAACTGTCCGGTTTTAGTTAAAAATGATTTTAGAAAGCTCATGTTTACAGCCTTGGAAATTTTCACTGTTGGCTTCAGTCTTTCAGTTTTGAAAAAAGTTTCTATGTGTAAGTCTGTATTTTGTCATTGTTTAGTTGGTTAGTCTTGTCGGACTCTTTGTGACCCCATGGACTGCAGCATGCCAGGCTTCTCTGTCCTTCACCATCTCCCGGAGCTTACTCAAACTCATTGAGTCGGAGATGCCATCCAACCATCTTGTCCTCTGTCATCCTCTTCTCCTGATTTCAGTCTTTCCCAGCATCAGTCTTTTCTAATGAGTCAGCTCTTTGCATTAGGTGGCCAAAGTATTGGAGCTTCAGCATCAGTCCTTCCAATGAATATTCAGGACTGATTTCCTTTAGGATTGACTGGTTTTATCTCCTTGCAGTCCAAAGGACTCTCAAGAGTCTTCTCCAACACCATAGTTTAAAAGCATCACTTCTTCAATACTCAGCCTTCTTTATGGTCCACTCTTACATCCATACGTAACGACTGGAAAAACCATAGCTTGACTAGATGGATCTTTGTTGGCTGAGTAATGTCTCTGCTTTTTAATATGCTGTCTAGGTTGGTCATAGCTTTTCTTCCAAGGAGCAAGTGTCTTTTAATTTCATGGCTGCAGTCACCATCTGCAGTGATTTTGGAGCTGGGAAAAATAGTCTGTCACTGTTTACACTGTTTCCTTCTCTATTTCCCAGGAAGTGATGGGACCAGATGCCATGATCTTAGTTTTCTGAATGTTGAGTTTTAAGCCAGCTTTTTTTCACTCCTTTCACTTTCATCAAGAGGCTCTTTAGTTCCTCTTCGCTTTCTGCCATAAGTGTGATGTCATCTGCATATCTGAAATTATTGATAATTCTCCCGGCAATCTTGATTCCAGCTTGTGGAATCCAGCCCGGCATTTCACATGATGTACTCTGCATAGAAGTTAAATAAACAGGGTGACAATATACAGCCTTGACATACTCCTTTTCCAATTTGGAACCAGTCCATTGTTCCATGTCTGGTTCTAACTGTTGCTTCTTGACCTGCATACAGGTTTCTCAGGAGGCAGGTCAGGTGGTCTGGTATTCCCTCCCATCTCTTGAAGAATTTTCTACAGTGTGTTGTGATCCACACAATCAAAGGCTTAGCATAGTAGCAGAAGTAGATGTTTTTCTGAATTCTCTTGCTTTTTCTATGATCCAGTGGTTGTTGGCAATTTGATCTCTGGTTCCTCTGCCTTTTCTAAATCCAGCTTGAACATCTAGAAATTCTCAGTTCACGTATTGTGTTGAAGCCTAGCTTGGAGAATTTTGAGCATTACTTTGCTGGCATGTGAGATGAGTGTAATTGTGCGGTAGTTTGAACATTTTCTGGCACTGCCTTTCTTTGGGATTGGAATGAAAACACCTTTTCTGGTCCTGAGGCCACTGCTGAGTTTTCCAAATTTGCTGGCATATTGAGTGCAGCACTTTCACAGCAGCATCTTTTAGGATTTGAAATAGCTCAACTGGAAGTCCATCACCTCCACTAGCTTTGTTCATAGTGATGCTTCCTAAGGCCCACTTGACTTTGCACTCAGGATGTCTGGCTCTAGGTGAGTGATCACACCGTTGTGGTTATCTGGGTCGTGAAGATCTTTTTTGTACAGTTCTTCTGTGTATGCTTGTCACCTCTTCTTAATATCTTATGCTTCTGTTAGATCCATACCGTTTCTGTCCTTTATTATGCCCATCTTTACACGCAAGTCTATGTTTACTCAAACTTAAAAAGCTCTCTGTAGTAGAAAGTTACTTTGACTTTTAAAATTATTTTCAACTTGATTTCTAATACCCTCCCCCTTCTTCCAGGAAGATGAGGGTGACAATATTCCCTTTTCTTGTTTAAAGAGTGGGTGATGTGCAACAGCATACCAAGAAAGCAGTAGTATATAATAATGAGAATTCATTCTTTACTTTCAACTAGGAGAGTAATAGAGACGTTTTCATCATGTAACAGAGATTTAACATAAAAGTGTCTGGCTTACTTTTCAGTTACGGGAAAATTTTAAATATACAAATAAAAGTAACACAGTGTTCAGTTTAATGTGATCCCAGGGTAAGGAATGAGCAATATTCATTTGGAATTTAGAAGATAGATTAGGTTGTGTATCTGTGGAGTTTAGAAGATAAGGGGTTAGGTTAGAGTTCTAGGAACTAGTTGGAAAAGTAGCAGTGGCATAGGAATGTTCTAAAGGAATTCTAAAGGAATATTAAGCCATTTACTTCCATGCAATGTCCATTGATTTTGGTGGGGAATCAAATGGAGAAAGGCAGTGGATACAATACCTTGGCATTCATTTAGATACTTGTTTTTTCAGATTGTGTATCTGGTGGGCATAAGGAGAAAAGACTGAAAATGTGTTCTTGGGAAAAACAGGATCACTACTTCAAAGAAAGAAACACACATGCATACATAGAGACCAATTCTTGCTCACTTTTTCCTCTTCTCTGATTTCTTTTATCCCTGCCCTATCCTACACCCAGTTGTAGTTTAAGTATAGAGTTCATTTCAGTTGAAGAAGCACAGGGCCTATGTAGGATCTGATTTTCCTCACTTATAGTTCAGTTGGTCAGCATTTTAAAGATTATTTGTTGAAAAACATAAATTTAATTCATAGCTAATTTTGGTATCGCTAATCCATCAGTTCATATATACATCCATTATCATAGTTTTCATACATTTCATACATTCTCCCTGTTGGTATGTATAGAAAATGTGTCAGGTGTGGATTGTCCACAGCATAGACTTGGTTCACTAGGAAATTGTGTTACTGATTTGGGTGGAATGTAATTCTAAGTTTAAGAATATAGGTCCAACTTTGTTTTGCTTTATTTCCGTGTTCTAAGTCCTTGGTTCTTCTCTTTAGTCTCACTAATTTTTATTCTGCTTAATTCTTGCATTGATTATATGCCTGACTATACTGCTCCTTCATTTCCTTTTTGTGTTCTGTGTTCTACTGCAGCTTCTGATTTAAATACTTCTCTTTTGCAGTAGAATCCTCTGTGTTAGGACCTGGTTCTTTTACCTAGATCTATTGAGCTAGTTGTCCTGTTCACTTTCTGAGAATGTTGTTCAGTCGCTAAGGTGTGTCTGACTCTCTGCGACCCTATGGACTGCAACATGCCAGACTTCCCTGGCCTTCACTATCTCCCGGAGTTTGCTCAAACTCATGTTCATTGAGTCGGTGATGCCATCCAACCCTCTTATCCTCTGCACTTGATAAGAAATGTGAGGGTCACATGTTTTTCCTTTTTTGTTTGCCCACTATTGTTATCTTGCTTTTATTGGCAGTTTATTTCATAATATTTGTTAAAGCTTTCTAAACTTAACTCTCAAGAACCAAGTTTTGGGAAAGAGGCAATTTCTCTCCTAGGGACTGATTAGCTGAGATTCACTTTTACAGATGGATTAGAAAGAACAACAGAAATTCAGTCTGCCTTACATTTTTAGGATCCTGGATTTAAGCTTTGCTAAATATATATCTTAGATGTCCTGAAGACATGTAGGTGATGTTCTATAAAGTTGGTAGACTAGTACCCTACGAAGTAACCTCTAACAGAAGAATAAGAGCTGAACATGTTTTAGTTCTTAATTAAAAAAAAAAAAAGGTCCTTCTAATTTGTGTCCTGTGTCCTTACATTAGCAGCATCTAAAATATTTAAATATTTGTGCATCACTCAGAATTTATCATAGTAGAAGTAGAATTGTATTTTAATTCAGAGCTCAATTAAAATTTGAGAAATCAGGGTAGAGTATTCTTTAATTATCTGTTGTTATTGACAGTCTGAAAATTCATCAACATTTAACCTTAAAGAGGGTAAAGAAGGGTTAGTGAGCTATTCCACACTCTAGCAATATAAAGTTTTAGCATCCAAGAAAAAAAAAATAACAAGTGATGGGCAGTTTGGGATCTCACAAACAAAAAATGTTTCTTCAGGTCTTAAAGCAAAGAATTGTCAGTGGTAGTTCAAAGTGTGTATACATGTGTTTGCTAGTCAGCATAAAAACTATTTTGTATTTTAAAGAAAAGTAGTTTTTAAGAGGTGTATCATTTAAATACATTTAATCTTCTGAATGAGATTTTTTTTGTCCATTAGATTATTTTCTCCATTAGCTCTTGATTTCCAGAATTGTTTTTTGTTTCTTATTTTAAACTTTTTACTTTATGTTGGAGTATAGCCAATTACCAGTGTTGGGACACTTTCAGGTGAGCAGCAGAGAGACTCAGTGATCCATATACATGCATCCATTTGCCTCTAAACTCCCTTTCCATCCAGACTGCCACGTGACATGGAGCAGTGTTCCCTGTGCGACACGATAGGTCCATTTTAAATACAGCAGTGTGTACACATCTGCCTCAAACTCCTGTGCTTGTTTATTTTTGGCGTTAATGCTTTATTCTTTTTAAATTCTAAGAGTTTATTTGAGTAAAGTCAATTTGAATCAGGCAGCGCCAAAAACAGAAGTGGTTATGAGCACTTACGAATGCTTCATTCTTTAGAAGAACTCAAACAGTATAGGAACTCTAGAACAAAAGATGTATAACAGATTTAAATATTTGGAAAAGTAGGTATGTGAGTGCCATTTTTAGTAGATGAGTAGCACGTAAATTAGACTTTCCCTCTGTTTTATAGATTATATAGTTTTTGTATATATTTTATTTATATAGATATAGTTTAATACAACAAAACAAATTGAAAAGGCTTTGTGAACCATGTAATTTAATAGGTAAAATCCTTCCTAGGAATAAATTAGGCTAGCTTTATCTTCAAGAACCACAGTCTTTAAAATATGTTCAACTTGCAACTTTTATATTTTCCTTTTCTTCATTATGTAGTATTGCTCTTTCTCTCTCTTCCTCATCTCCACTGATTAACTCCTTTCTACCTTGTTAGGTAAGGAAAAGCAAATCTAGGAATCTCTTGTCCTGAGTGTGTGGATTTTTTTTTTTTTTTTAGTGTGTGGATTTTTAACACTCTCCAGGTGATTCAAATGTAAATCAATGTTTGAGAGCCATTGATATCTAGGAAGGGACTAGAGATACTCTGAAGAAAAAGAGACCATGGAAAATTTTTGATTCAGGAATGAACAAGTCAGAGTTTCCAAGCTTGACTTTTCTGCAAAGATTGTTACTAAAATTTTTTTAAAAATTGAAAGGGAGCGAAGAACATGAAATTTCTTTTTGTGGTATAATTTTTATTTTTTCCATACTTATATCTTTCATGAATATGGTTGAGTGCTTATTTTTGTACCTGTTATTAAGATTACTAAATGATTTGAAAGACCAAATGGAATTTCTAAAACTTCTAGGAAATACCGATAGTTTACTGATTGGGAAAATCTGGGTTAGTCAGTTGAGGTGAAAGGTAAGATGACATTTAACCTTTGATTTAATGTTAGAGTTTGGCCACTTTGTCTCTTATCACAATCATATTGACAACCAAACAAAATTTGTTTATTTTTTTAGCGTTGTATTTGTAATTTCATATTCTGTATTCTGAACTTGTTTTTACCATTAAATTTCTGTTGTGTTAAGAATGGCTGGGAACTCAGCATATTCACAAGTGAAGAGTAGTGTGTATTTTGTGACTTTTGGTTTACTACGTCTGGTGGTGTAATATAAAATTAGTAAATGTGCTCTTCCTCTTTTATACAGGACCAGTGGCTGTAGGACAATTTCACCGGTCGTTCCGGCGAGATAGTCTGTCTCCTTACTCCTACGTATCAACTTCATCCCACAACCACAGTACTTTTCCTCTGAAAGGTTTAGATCGGACCCCGCTCCCTCCTAGAACGTGGCCGAACTCTCTTGGAATGCACCCAGGACAAGTGGAAACGTCTCCCACTTTTTCAGATAAAGGGGTTCCATTTCCTGTACTACAGAGGTTTCCAACTGAGGTCACGTATACCCTGCAGCCCAGTGCCACACCCGTACACGTTCAGCAAGGTCCTCAAACAATGGTCAGCTCCTCCCAAAAGTACAGTAACTACACACCCTCAGCGCAGTACTCCCAAGCCTACTATCCGACAGGTACGAGAAATTCAAGTTCAGTGGTTTCTTTTAAGGCACTTGATAATGAGAACTTATATTTTTAAATGCATTTTTGTATGCATAAACAAAAATAGGAATATGCATCTAAGAAATGTCAAAGATTTCTCATGAGTACTCATTTTTTTAGCAATATGTGAAATTTCATTGTGTTCTTAAAGGCTGTAAAAATTGTTGGCACACAGAAGTGTATGTTTTTAGTGAAACTTTGGTATCCTCAAAATATGTTCTGGTAAGACTTAGTACACCAGATCTTGGTATAACACTGTTGTTGGTGTAGTAGTTTTTTGTGGGTTTTTTCTTTTAGAAAAAAATACTTATATTACATGTTATTTTTTAGTTATATAGGTGAGACTACCTCATAATGAAATCATCTTAGTATCTCAGCAATGAAGTTTAATAAAAGAGCCTACTCACCATCTCTTAAGACTAAATTACATTCTTTTAATAAAAATGCAATGGTGTGGTTTGGCAATGCAGTCCTTGCAGAGTTAATCTCAGCCAGCGAACAGCTGGGAGTAGCTGAGAGAAGAGCCTGGCAACTGACCTAGAGCCCAGCCAAGGGCGTGGAAGACCTGCCAGTAGGGCTCAGGCCACTCGTTGGGAATCCATGTGATAGTGACCATGCATTTTGCTTCTTGGGGCCAGGGAATGTCTTTGCAGGGATACATTTCTGCAGAATGATAATGTTACCATTTAGTTAAAAACAATTTATTGTTTTGCAGAAGCACCATAGAGGTGATGTGTGTTTTCATTAGTGTTTACAAAGAATGATGAAAAGGGGCAATAGAAAAAAGTCAAGGGTCAAGGCTTTCAGAGAAGACCCAGAAGAGGAAAAAGGGGGCAGTCCTTTGCCCTTTGAACTAAGAGTGTAGGCATATTAATTAGGTACAGCTGGAAGCAGTCTTCAGCGGTATTTTTGTTAGACCACTCTTCCCAGGCAGGCCGAAATCAAAAACTAAAATAAGTGGGAGGCATGTAAATTAGGTAAGGGAGTTAAATCATTGGTTGTCTTTTAAAAGCTATAAATTTGAAAACTGTTCCATTTATAGTAATGCTGGTAATATCCAACCATATTTATTTATTATTGGCTCATTGTGTTCTACCTAAATTTTATAGACAGTAAAAGGGATTGCTTTATTTTCTCAAAGCACTTAAGTTCAATAATATCAAAATAATAAAACCAGAGGTTAAATTAAATTGAGTTTTATAGATTTTTGGAGCTGCTACTGTTTCGGTGGATGGAGAAGAATAAAGGAAGAAATTATATGGAGTAAGATGATATAGCACTTCTAATCATTTGCCTATTAGAAATTTAAAAATCTTTTTCTTAACCTTATATATAAAGAAAGTGGAGGCCTAATTCTTTTTTCCCCCAGACTTTCAGCTAATTCTTTGAAGAATAAAAATATCTGGGTGATCTTGAAAGCTAGAAGATGACATTTTATGTTATATATCTTATGTATAGCAACAAATAGTGTCAGATCTTTCCTGAGGGATTTTTAATCAGTATTTTAATAAATTAGGCATTTCTATCTAAATTATAATTTGGCTGCATTCCCTAAATGCATAGAATATATATATATATATATATATATATACACACACACACACATAAGAGAGAGACAGTCTGTCTTTCTTATACTTGTTTTACGTGATGTAGCCCATCTACTGGACAACACCCCGTCTCTCTTCCTTTTAGCAATGAATGTTTCTCTTTCTTTTCCTAACCTCCCTTAAATGCCCCTCCTCTACACTACTAAAGACTCAAAAACTTCTGGGGAGTTGAAATTCAGAAGGACTACCACAGAGAGAGAAATGTGCTTGGCCTTCTAACTTGGAATTTTGGAGAAATTTTCCTATGTACATATTAGATATGGTGGTTAGGTTCCATATTACTATTACTGCTGCAGTTAAGGTACGGATGGTTATAGTCTGGCTTAGGAGCCAGACTAGCCTGTATGATGATGTTTCTACAGGAAAATGTATTCCAAGTTCTGAACAATCCTCTTAGAAACTCCTAGTTCTAAATTTTATGAGAACTAGTTGTATGTTACTAGAAAATACTACAAATAGTTAATATTATTCATTTGTTATAGAAGTTCTATTTGTTAAATTATTACAATTTAGGATCTATGTCATTTAAAAATGTTTTGCGTTAGTTTGGATTTAAATTATAAATAAATTTATTGATTTAATAATTACATTGAAAATTGTCTCTAGGAGTCCAAGATAAGGACTAGGAAAGAGACACATTAAAAGAACAAGTGCTGCTGATGTTTTGATACTATAGAGTGCATATGAAATAGAATCTTGCGTTATCTGAATTTTTGTTTTGTCTTCTTTGATATGGATGATTGAAATTACTGTGAAGGTTCTGAGGTTATGAGAAAAAGAAAAATCTCATGATTTCATGATGAATTCTAATACATAGAGTAGTTCTATGATATAATGTAGGCAAAATTGCTTTGAACATTCTGAAGTACTATAGAAATAAAAAGTTATATTGTTAAATACAAAAGACCTGCTATGGAAGGAAAGAAAATGCCAAAGAAATAACTGTACAAGTGCTTAATTCCTCCAAATCTCAGGTGAAGGAGGCAAAATGTAGTGAGCAGTTTAACCAATATTTAGTGAATACCTGTTTGTGAAGGGCTCTATGAATGACTTTACCAAAGTTAAGTAGAATACTACTCTCAGAGGCAGGATAATAATCACTCTCAATCCAGCTCTCCAAATCCTAATAAAGTAACTAAGTTTGGAATAATTGTCATACTTTTATCCTTTCAAAGTAAACTATGTGACTTGAGATTTGGATCAAATTTTAGTAAAAAAAAAAACCAATACTCATCTTCATTTAAAAATCAGTTATATTGAAAATAAACTTGGATGTGGTCTTCATGTGATATAACCAGTAAAATTTGTATTTTGTAATATTTCGTAAATTATTTCTCTAGTAAAGGCAAGCTTTGAGACTAAAAAACTGCTCTCAGACTGACTCATAAATGGACTCACCTGACTGATTTCTTACATTTGTCTTTCCTCTCTTGAAGCATCTGTTTTCTTTGCCTAGCTCATTTACATTTTTTCCACTCTTAACCCCTTCTTCAAAGACAAAATGTTATAGATCCACCATTAGTGGACTCTCTCTAGTCTTGCCCGGTCTTGAATTCAGCTTTCTTCTCTAATGCTGTTTTCAGGGTGCTACTATAATTTAATTTCCATTTTTTATAAGAAACTTTATTTTAGACCTTTTTGTTTTGCTCGTTCTGTATGTATTTGAACATACATAAGAATATTAGTATATTCATATTTATATATAGAATCCTGTATTGAGGAATTGTTTTCCTTTGACTCATGTTCTAATGCTGAACTGATTCAAAGCTAACTTTGACTTTTTTCCCCAAGTTAAGTTTTAAGCTCAAAGCAGTGATTGGTGATTTGTAGCTGCCCTTTATCTCATATTTTATGTAACATATTTGTGTAGCAGTCACTGTGACCAGGTACTATGCTGAGTGCTTTCCAAGTATTAATTCATTTAATCCTCAGAACAGCTTGGTGAGCTCGGGGATGTAGTCATCCTCATTTCAGAGGTTAGACGCAGAAGCACAGCTCAGCACAGGCAGCGCTAGGAACCACGTCTAGGCAGATTCTCTCGAGCTCATTCGTTCGGCCATCATGTTCTGCTTGCTGCCGCCTGCCTGCTTGTAATACAGAGAGGACATTTGGTTTGTTTTGTTTTTCTTTTGAGAGACTCTTCTCTGATAGACCTCTTCCCCGGGGTCAGTCCTTCCAGAGAGGGTAGGTGACAGACACTGGTCGGGGGACCTCGCCTTCTGTGCTGCCGATGGCGGGGCACTGACGCTGGGCTGTTGACTCCCTCTGCTGGAGCAGAGGCAGACTCCATCCAGCTGCTGGAGCGGGCCTTCCGTCTGCAGCTGTGTCTGACTCATTCCTGCATCCCCCGCACCTGGTGCAGTGCTGGGCCGTCATGGGCTCTCAGTAAATATTCATGGAGTAAACGAAGTAATTCTAGCCTCAGCTTTGCAGTTAGTCATCTGATGGACATTGTGACATTCTGTGGATTATTTCATGTCACTCAGTTTCAATTTCCCTTTCCAAAAAGTGGCAATAATAGTTTGGGTCTGGGATTAAGTGAATTAATGTATAGAATTTGAATATATTTAAGACACTTAAAAACTTTATATTTACATATAAAGGATAACTTTTTTTTTTTTTAGTTTTATTTATTTATTTATTTATTTATTTTATATTGTAGTAGTTTTTGTCATACATTGACATGAATCAGCCATGGATTTACATGTATTCCCCATCCCAATCCCCCCTCCCACCTCCCTCTCCACCCGATCCCTCTGGGTCTTCCCAGTGCACCAGGCCCGAGCACTTGTCTCATGCACCCAACCTGGGCTGGTGATCTGTTTCACCCTAGATGATATACATGTTTCGATGCTGTTCTCTTGAAACATCCCACCCTCGCCTTCTCCCACAGAGTCCAAAAGTCTGTTCTATACATCGGAGTCTCTTTTTCTGTTTTGCATATAGGGTTATCGTTACCATCTTTCTAAATTCCATATATATGCGTTAGTATACTGTAATGGTCTTTATCTTTCTGGCTTACTTCACTCTGTATAATGGGCTCCAGTTTCATCCATCTCATTAGAACTGATTCAAATGAATTCTTTTTAATGGCTGAGTAATATTCCATGGTGTATATGTACCACAGCTTCCTCATCCATTCGTCTGCTGATGGGCATCTAGGTTGCTTCCATGTCCTGGCTATTATAAACAGTGAAAAATTTGAAAAGCTATATTTCAAATGAGCCTAGCTACTAACACTTTAAAGGCTGACTGAAGTGATTTATAGGAATATACCCTTCTCATGAAGGTGCATGTGTTTTATTATTTAAAAAATTTTCTGAATTGACTCTTGGGCAAAGAAGGTTGATTTATTACTGTTTTGAAGTACATTAAATTTTAAACATTTGATCTTTAGGCTTTTCATTCTACATAATGTACATAAACAAGTATAGAATATGGAGTTATAAGAACTTTCTGATGCTCTGGGAGCCTGTATTTTCAGTTTCTCTGGCGAGGTCTCATTTTGTTCTTATGGAGAGAGGGACTTGGCGTAGATACACTAGAAGGATTTTTAAGCAAAAGCACAATTATATTTTATTTTCATTGAGGTAAAATATGTAAGATTGACCATTTTATCCATTTTTAAGTGTACAGCTCTGTGGCATTAAATACATTCACATTGTTGTACTAGCATCACCACCATCCTTTTCTAGAACGTTTTTGTCTTTCCCCAGCTGAAACTCTGTATCCAGTAAACACTTAACTTCACATTCCCCTCTCGCCATCTTGTGGCGACTGCTGTCCTGCTTTCTGTCTTGAAGAATCGATAACTCTAGGAACATCATATGAGGGCAATCATATATTTGTCCTTTTGTGATTGGCATCTTTCACTTGTTCCAAGTCATTGATATTGTGGCATGAGTCAAAATCTTCTTCCTTTAAATGCTGAATAATTTTCTGAAATTTCTATATTTACAGACCACATTTTATCAGTTCACCTGTTGATAGACACTGGGTTGCTTCCACCTTTTGGCCACTGGTGCTCTGAACTTGGTTCTACAATAATATGGTCTGCTTTGACTTCTTATGGTTATAGACTAGAATACCATTTCTTTACCTCACTGCAGATGAGGAAATGTTTAGGTTCTAGTTGCTGTAGTAACTTACCTTGAAATTAACTTTACTATTAGGATATTTTTCCTTTTGAGTGTTTCTTCACTGTTGATACTGTACTATTCCAGAGTAGCTTCAAGTCCAAAACATTTTAATTATAAATTTGAATTACCTACATTGGATAAAGTGTATGAACTTGTTTTCCTAACCTATAATGGATGTGAAAATTTCTACCTTTAGATAAATTTTTAGTAATCTATTTTTACCATAAAAAATGTCATCAACTCTTATATTTGAAGTAGAAATTGTTCACTATTTCCAGCTTTTTATTCTACATGCGATTCAGTGCCTTAAATGAACACTGCCTTCAGAAAGATACTGAAGGATCTTTATGGAGATGAATGTGTCTTCATAGTGATAAACTCAGTTTTAGAAGTGTTAGTACTTTCACAGTGCTTTCCTAATGCCCATTAGATTAATTTGTCATGTATGAAGCACACAGTTGTATTCTTATAACTAGATTTTCATATCCAGTGAACCTATTAATACTTTGCTTTGTTCTGGTTTGTTGAGTATATGAAGTAGGACTGAACTGGTAAGGAAATAGCCATGGAGAGTCTTTTTGGATTACCTATTCACCTCCCTTTCTTCATGCAGGTACCTTTCTATTTTCCATTTGTAACTGGACACTTTAAAGGACAGTCACTATTTTGCTGTTTCCTTAGATACCAAATCAGCTATCAACTATATATTAATATATTCACTTGTATGTTATATTTTATTGTTGTATATTCTATTTTATTTTTTCAAGAAACTTACTTTAAGGTACACTGTAACACCTATTCATAATGGGTAAACAGTGGCGTCAGATTGATTATAGCACTATCGGAAAAATAAAGCTAATACCTTTCATTGATTTATTTGTAACAAAACACTTTTATGGTGCCCTGATGGGTGAAACATCCCTTGGAGGAGGAAATGGCAGCTCACTCCAGCATTCTTGCCTGGAAAATTCCATGGACAGAGGAGCCTGAGGAGCTGCAGTCTGTGGGTTCACCAAGAGCCAGACACGGCTGGGCGCACACGCGATAGGTGAAAATCTACAGCTCCTGACCGAGCCCTTTCTGCCACTAGGGGGCAGTTTTCCTTAGCTGTTAAAACTGGAAAAAGATCCGTTGTTTTCAGTTTCAGCAAACCCTGCAGACCCCTCCTGAGCTTTTTGGATTTAACTTATTTCCCAAGGTATTTATGCTTTTAAATATTCTGGGAAACCAAATTCCAATCCATGTATTTTTAATTGTGTATTTGAATAATCTCCAAGGATATGGGAAGTGACAGCTGCTTTAATTTTATGTGGCCATCCTAGTAATATCTGGCTTTTTTAACCACTGGAATTGTTAAAATTATGTAATTCAGAAAACATCAACCCTTATATTTTTATTTCAACTAGAATTCTATCCATTATTTTAATTTTTTGTTTCCCTGTGTAAAATTTAATGCCTTAAAATGCACATGATATAATAAAATATTTCTCTTATACCTTTATGAACTTGTGACATTTTAAAAATCCATGGTCAGTAATGGATAAAAAGGGAAGCATTTTGATGAATTTTTGCAATTGTTAGGCTAATTTACTTCAAAGATTACAGAATAAGATTATTTAGTAATTTTACTAGCGTATTCAGAATATGAGAAGTGTGGACCAAAAATGTTGCCACCTGTAAATAAAGACACCTTAAAAATATTCCACAAGTGGAGTTCTAGTAAAATTAAAGTATTAGGTTTTAGGAAGAAAGATTAGGGAAATATCATGATACATTGAAGAGCACGTACTTTGCAGTTTGTTGATTGCCTCTGTCACTATCAGCTTTGTGAACTTTCAGCACATTTTTTAACATCCCTGAGCTTTAATTTCCTTATTTTTGTAAAGTAATGTTAATATCTCATTCAGTTGTTTGGATTAAATGAGGCAGTACATGTAAAGGGCCTTGGTCTGTGCCTGGAATATGTTAGGTGCTCAGTAAATGTCATACTCTCTTTAATCCAAAGTTGTGATGTTAGAACTGATTCTCATTCATTCTGGAGATTCTCTCTCTGGAAAAGAGGAGACTCAACCAATTATTAAGGCTGCATCTGTAAGTATGGGGACTTCCCTGGTAGCTCAGCTGGTAAAGAATTGGCCTGCGATGCAGGAGACCCCAGTTTGATTCCTGAGGCGGGAAGATCCCCTGGAGAAGGGATAGGCTACCCACGCCAGTATTCTTGGGCTTCCCTGGCGGCTCAGCTGGTAAAGAATCTTCCTGGAGTGTGGGAGACTTGGGTTTGATCCCTGAGTTGGGAAGATCAGTGAAGATCTGGAGAAGGGAATGGCTACCCACTCCAGTATTCTGGCCTGGAGAGTTCCGGGGACTATTCCATGAGGTCACAAAGAGTCAGACACGACTGAACGACTTTAACTTCACTGTAAGTATGACTATACCAGTACAAAGAATTCAGTCTTTTCATGGTATCCTAACTATAAAGAGGAAGTTTGGAAAAAATGTATTTCCTTAACTAAAATGATTAGCTATTTGTATACTGATTGCTTACTGTATGTCAGTGTTGTTCTTAGTAGGTACTGTTACTATTCCTATTCTATTAATAGTAGGATACAGAAATGGAGCCCAAAGGGATTGACCTTATTCCAGTTTATGTTCTTGTTGTTTAGTCACTAAGTCGTGTCTGACTCTTTTTCAACCCCATGGACTGACTGTAGCCCGCCAGGCTCCACTGTTCTTGGGATTTCCCAGGCAAGAATACTGGGATACTGTTGCCGTTTGTTTCTCCAGGGTGTCTTCTTGACCCAGGGATGGAACCTGCATTGGTAAGAAGGTTCTTTACCACTGAGCCAACAGCGAAGCCTCAGGTTTATATAACTAGGCTCCAAAGGCAGACCGTCTAGCTCTAGGTCTGAGTTCCTAACCACTTGGCTAAATGATTAAAACACTTTTTCCCATAGATTTCACTGGATGCATTGTATATACAGTAGGAGTGTTTGGAAAGTTTTTATACTTATTTTATACTTAAAAACACACCTTCCTCCAAATGTTTGTTACTATTAAAATGATTGAAATAATTATTTTAGAATTCTGAATATGTTCTGATATTTTCAATAAAAGGAAATTACTACTTTCAGTAAGAATAAACGTTTGATTAGAAATGTAGCAAAATACGTAGGTGCTAAAGGATTCATTTATAAAAGTAGAAATGACCCTTTTAAGTGACTTTTAATATTGCTTTATTACTGTTTGTTTTCAACAAATAATGGCACCTCACTGGACTAAATATATTATATTGCACCCACAAAGGAAAACTTTTGCAAGTTTTTGCTCCAGGTTGAAAGAGAGGAGCGCCTTGAAGGCTGCAGATTTCTGTGGGTTGACGGCTTTTCTGTGTGGCTTTGTTCCAGCCGTGCTGCAGTGCTGCTCGCCTTCCACGCACATGGACGCGCTCAGTAGTTGTGTCAGCACCACTGCTTCTTCCTACGCACACTGCAACTACTTTCAGGTAAGAGGCTGGGAGCCGGGGACATTCTCTGCATCAGGAACAGTACGGTTGGCCAGCTGACCACACAGTTTCACCGTCTAATTTTATCTTAAGGAGTAGCCAGAGGTAAGCTGTGGATTATGGCCTCAGTTTTTCTCAGTTCTAAAAAAAAAAAAAAAAAGTTGATGTAAATGATGTCTGAGGATTCTTCCAGGCCTACACTTCTGGGCCTACTATTAGGCACTAGCCACATGTAGGCTATTTACATTGAAATTAATTAGAATTAAATAAAATTTAAAAATTATTCCTTAGTCATTAACCACATTTCAGATGCTTAATAGTTTCGTATTCCTAGGGGCTACCAAATTTTATTGCGCAGAGAACATTTTCATCATTGCTGACAGTTAGTTGAAACAATGTTGTTCAACTAACTGTCAGCAATGGTAAAACTGAATACAGTGGTAAAATAATTCATTTTTCCAGGTAAGCTCTAAAAGTATATAAATCACCAAATGACAGATCCTTCCAAGATAGCACAGATAATTACTTTTTTTTTTAAAGGAGAAAGGGAAAATGATGTAAAAAAATGAGAAAGCCCCCGTGTTGTAAACACCACACTTCAATCATTTTCATTATTTATTATTTCATTATTTCATTATTTATTAGGAAGAAATTTCTTTGATTTAAATGTTGTAAACTACCAGTTTTAGGATAAAATTAAATCCTGTTTGTATTTTTATGTTGCAGTTGCTTAAAGATTGGAATTATTTTCCTTTGATATCATGTAATCACAATAGCTTCCATTCTTAAAAAATACCTTACTAGTGGCATTCCAGTACTCAAAAGAGCATTCCTTTTTTCTTTTTTTTAGTTTAGAAAATATACATTGGAAGTCAAATTATAATCAGATTGTTGTTTGGAGAATACAGAATCCGGTCAAGAGGACTTAGATGGACATATTTAATGCAGATATCATTAAGCATGTTAGTAGAGCTGTTTCATTTTCACTGGAAGGACTTGTCTGTCTCACAAATTAGATGCTCTTATCTGTAGACTCAGGCATTCTCTCCCCTGGGTCATACTAGAGATACTCTGTTGGTGTTTCTTGATTATATTTATGTTTTAAATAAGTCATTTAAAACATCTTTAAAGACTTTCTTACTGCAAAGGCAATACATGTTGATTATAGGAAAACAGAGATAAGTAGACATAAAACTTATATTTTAAAAAGTTTTTTTAAATTATGTATTTGTTTATTTTGGGGTGTGCTGGATCCTCACTGCTTTGCGCTGACTTTCTCTACTGTGATGAGTGGGAGCTACTCTTCCTTATGGTTCAAGGGCTTCCCATTGCTCTGCTTTCTCCCATTGCGGAGAACAGGCTCTGTGCTCGTGGGCTTCGGGAGTTGTAGCACTTGGGCTCAGTAGTCGTGCATGCAGGCTTTAGTTGCCCTGCAACATGTGAAATCTTCCTGGACCAGGGATAGAACCCGTGTCCCCTGAACTGGCAGGTGGAGTCTTACCTACTGCATCACCAGGGAAGTCTGACATAAGATTTTTAAATGGAAAAAAGGGAAGTATTTCAGATGCCATTCTGGAAATAATTGCAGTTAAGTTTTTTTGGATTGTAGATGTGGTGACTGTGCATGAATGATTCGTATATTGTAATGGTTAAGAGCAAGAATTCTGGAGTCAGGCAAACCTAGGCTTGAAACCTGGCTCTGTTAGTTATTTCATTGTGACTTTGAATAAATTATAAAGTTTCTCTGAACTTTAGTTCCACTATTTGGAAATGGAGATTATCACATTTCATTGACCTCTTATGAGGATTAAATGAAATAATGTACAGAAAGCACTTTGTGTATGCCTGGCATGTAGTAACAACTCAATAAATGGTGTACAGCTCTAGTAGAGTAGCTTGATGTTTAAGCCATTTAGATTTGCATTATTTGGCATTAGTGGCCTTCGAATTATTGATGCAGTCTTTGTAGTGTGTTTGGCGACATTGACTCACTACCTATTTTATTTCATAACTCTTCTGTATCTTATGTTTATAACCTGATACAGTCAACAAACAATTATTGAATACCTATTCTGTGCAAAACTCTGCATTTGGCAACAACTCAATACATATTTTATTTAATCATTACTCTTCAGTATTCTGTGTTCATAGCTTGAGGTTGTTTATCATCAGATGTAATTGTGCATAGTACTATGTATAAGAGAATACATCTTGAAGATATCAGTCTAAAAGTGACAGCTATTTTAATCTATTGTTTTAGTATTAAAATAATCTCAACAAAGAACATTCGATATTCCATCCATTTTTTCCCCAGATTATTTGGAACAGAATATCAGTATCTCCCCCTGAATCTATTGAAGCATTGGTGGACTTGTGAGCAGCCTGTGTTTATTTCCTTACTACATTCCTAAAACAGTGTATATTTTTGTCTGTCACCCTTTCTGAAAGAATTTGATACATAGACATTTTATCAGCAAATAGATATTTGGATACTATAGCTTGTTTTTGATTTTGTGTACTTTAACCCTGAGAATTATTGGTCCATTCCAATATTAAAACTTAGCATAGTGGTTGACATACAATAGTTGGTGTGCTAATGCTAACAATAGAGTTAAAGGTACCACTGCCGAAAACTTGACTGGCATTCAAGTTTTCTTAGTGAACTTCAAGTTTAATTTGTTTATGTTTAGCATTCATCAGCATAAGTGTTTTTGCTTTCCTCCTTAATCTCATATTTGATTTTCTATCCAAAGAATCCTATTTTCTCTTTTCCCAGAATCCTCCAATGCAGTCTTCCTATCCAGTTGAATTTCTGCCTTCTAACTGGCCTTGCAGTGCTACTGATGAAAATAAAAAGACAGAAGTAAACCTAGAGGCTGTTTTTCAGATAGTAGATGAGTTGCATTCCTCCCCTAAATTGGAGATGGTCAAGGTGGAGCCTGTTGAGAATCAGTGCTCAACATCCCAGTCTAATAGAGGCCAACATATCCTAGCTAATTCAAACAACAGCAATCCATCTTCCACAAGTCAGGCTAGCCAGCTGGAGCCACTTACTCCTGTAGGCTCAGATATTACGTCTTTTGTGGTCGGAACAGAACAGGCAGTTACCTGCTCTCTACCACAGTCACCTGAGTACATCTATACCATCCACCCAGCTCAGCCTGTTGAAAATACTACAATGCAAGAGTCTGCAATCAACCAGCAAGCTCACATCAAACTGAAGGAGCAGCTGAGTCATAATCCATCGCCATCTTCAGTAGTGTTTGTGCAGGAAGGGCTACCATTCAGCACACACCAGGTAAGAGGCAAAGAAAAATTCCTAGTAATGTTCAGAGGTACCTGGTGCTTCTTGCTAAGGACTGTTGTAGTGGGGACTTTGTCCCGGTTTTATTTGGGTTTAATACAAGTTCATTATTCTTTCCGGAAGGATCATGTCCCAGTGGTTCTGCACAAAGCATTTCAGAAAGAAGTAACCTGAACTGTCAGGCATGCTCTCATTATGTTATGGTTTGAATGAGCACTGTGGTATAAGACTTACCAATATTTCCATGTTAAAAACATCCTCTGAGTTTCACTTCCAAACTTAATTTGAATGGACTAGGTGTGCCTGCCTGATTAAATTCCACTTCTCAGATGGATGGTTTATCTCATAGATAACATCAGGACTTTCCTGGCCATTTGTAGCGTGGAGGTAAGGAGATGGTTGGAAGTATTTTCATACTTTCTTACAAGCATTATTGAATTCTAATTTGACTTGAGAGCATACTGTGCGTGAATTTCCTTGCTAATATTCTCATTCCTAAAGTAGAATTCTGACTCTGGTTTGAGATATATATTCCGAAAGTAGAGACTAATCCTTTATCACTGCTAGCTTATGACCAGAAAATGAATAAACTCGCATTCTAAAATATGAAAGTATATCCAAATTAAAATCACTTTTGTGATTAAGTATTTTTTTCTCAATCCTAGCCTGATATATATGTATTTCATTTTGGATTTTTTTCTTTCTTTCTTTATTTTTTTTTTGCTGTTTCTTTTCTTTTTTTTTTTTTTTAAATTTATTTATTTATTTTTTTTATCACAACCATAGTGTATCTTTTTTTTTTTTTTTTTTACATGTATTCCCCATCCCGGTCCCCCCTCCCACCTCCCTCTCCACCCAATCCCTCTGGGTCTTCCCAGTGCACCAGGCCCGAGCACTTGTCTCATGCACCCAACCTGGGCTGGTGAACTGTTTCACCCTAGATAATATACGTGTTTCAATGCTGTTCTCTTGAAACATCCCACCCTCGCCTTCTCCCAGAGTCCACAAGTCTGTTCTATACATAGGAGTCTCTTTTTCTGTTTTGCACATAGGGTTATCGTTACCATCTTTCTAAATTCCATATATATGTGTTAGTATACTGTAATGGTCTTTATCTTTCTGGCTTACTTCGCTCTGTATAATGGGCTCCAGTTTCATCCATCTCATTAGAACTGATTCAAATGAATTCTTTTTAATGGCTGAGTAATATTCCATGGTGTATATGTACCACAGCTTCCTCATCCATTCATCTGCTGATGGGCATCTAGGTTGCTTCCATGTCCTGGCTATTATAAACAGTGCTGCGATGAACACTGGGGTGCACATGTCTCTTTCAGATCTGGTTTCCTCAGTGTGTATGCCTGGAAGTGGGATTGCTGGGTCATATGGCAGTTCTATTTCCAGCTTTTTAAGAAATCTCCACACTGTTTTCCATAGTGGCTGTACTAATTTGCATTCCCACCAACAGTGTAAGAGGGTTCCCTTTTCTCCACACCCTCTCCAGCATTTATTGCTTGTAGACTTTTGGATAGCAGCCATCCTGACTGGTGTGTAGTGGTACCTCATTGTGGTTTTGATTTGCATTTCTCTGATAATGAGTGATGTTGAGCATCTTTTCATGTGTTTTTTAGCCATCTGTATGTCTTCCTTGGAGAAATGTCTGTTCAGTTCTTTGGCCCATTTTTTGATTGGGTCATTTATTTTTCTGGAGTTGAGCTGGAGGAGTTGCTTGTATATTTTTGAGATTAATCCTTTGTCTGTTGCTTCATTTGCTATTATTTTCTCCCAATCTGAGGGCTGTCTTTTCACCTTGCTTATAGTTTCCTTTGCTGTGCAAAAGCTTTTAAGTTTCATTAGGTCCCATTTGTTTATTTTTGCTTTTATTTCTAAAATTCTGGGATGTGGGTCATAGAGGATCCTGCTGTGATTTATGTCGGAGAGTGTTTTGCCTATGTTCTCCTCTAGGAGTTTTATAGTTTCTGGTCTTACATTTAGATCTTTAATCCATCTTGAGTTTATTTTTGTGTATGGTGTTAGAAAGTGTTCTAGTTTCATTCTTTTACAGGTGGTTGACCAGTTTTCCCAGCACCACTTGTTAAAGAGGTTGTCTTTTTTCCATTGTATATCCTTGCCTCCTTTGTCAAAGATAAGGTGACCATAGGTTCGTGGATTTATCTCTGGGCTTTCTATTCTGTTCCATTGATCTATATTTCTGTCTTTGTGCCAGTACCATACTGTCTTGATGACTCTGGCTTTGTAGTATAGTCTGAAGTCAGGCAGATTGATTCCTCCAGTTCCATTCTTCTTTCTCAGGATTACTTTGGCTGTTCGAGGTTTTTTGTATTTCCATACAAATTGTGAAATTATTCGTTCTAGTTCTGTGAAAAATACCGTTGGTAGTTTGATAGGGATTGCATTGAATCTGTAGATTGCTTTGGGTAGTATAGCCATTTTGACAGTATTGATTCTTCCAATCCATGAACACGGTATATTTCTCCATCTGTTTGTGTCCTCTTTGATTTCTTTCATCAGTGTTTTATAGTTTTCTATGTATAGGTCTTTTGTTTCTTTAGGTAGATATACTCCTAAGTATTTTATTCTTTTTGTTGCAATGGTGAATGGTATTGTTTCCTTAATTTCTCTTTCTGTTTTCTCATTGTTAGTATATAGGAATGCAAGAGATTTCTGTGTGTTAATTTTATATCCTGCAACTTTACTGTATTCGTTGATTATCTCTAGTAATTTTCTGGTAGAGTCTTTAGGATTTTCTATGTAGAGGATCATGTCATCTGCAAACAGCGAGAGTTTCACTTCTTCTTTTCCTATCTGGATTCCTTTTACTTCTTTTTCTGCTCTGATTGCTGTGGCCAAAACTTCCAAAACTATGTTGAATAGTAGTGGTGAGAGTGGGCACCCTTGTCTTGTTCCTGATTTCAGGGGAAATGCTTTCAGTTTTTCACCATTGAGGGTGATGCTTGCTGTGGGTTTGTCATATATAGCTTTTATTATGTTGAGGTATGTTCCTTCTATTCCTGCTTTCTGGAGAGTTTTAATCATAAATGGATGTTGAATTTTATCAAAGGCTTTTTCTGCATCTATTGAGCTAATCATATGGTTTTTATCTTTCAATTTGTTAATGTGGTGTATTACATTGATTGATTTGCGGATATTAAAGAATCCTTGCATTCCTGGGATAAAGCCCACTTGGTCATGATGTATGATTTTTTTAATATGTTGTTGGATTCTGTTTGCTAGAATTTTGTTAAGGATTTTTGCATCTATGTTCATCAGTGATATTGGCCTGTAGTTTTCTTTTTTTGTGGCATCTTTGTCTGGTTTTGGAATTAGGGTGATGGTGGCCTCATAGAATGAGTTTGGAAGTTTATCTTCTTCTGCAATTTTCTGGAAGAGTTTGAGTAAGATAGGTGTTAGCTCTTCTCTAAATTTTTGGTAGAATTCAGCTGTGAAGCCATCTGGTCCTGGGCTTTTGTTTGCTGGAAGATTTCTGATTACAGTTTCGATTTCCTTGCTTGTGATGGGTTTGTTAAGATCTTCTATTTCTTCCTGTTTCAGTTTTGGAAAGTTATACTTCTCTAAGAACTTGTCCATTTCTTCCAAGTTGTCCATTTTATTGGCATAGAGCTGCTGGTAGTAGTCTCTTATGATCCTTTGTATTTCAGTGTTGTCTGTTGTGATCTCTCCATTTTCGTTTCTAATTTTGTTAATTTGGTTCTTCTCCCTTTGTTTCTTAATGAGTCTTGCTAATGGTTTGTCAATTTTGTTTATTTTTTCAAAAAACCAGCTTTTAGCTTTGTTAATTTTTGCTATGATCTCTTTAGTTTCTTTTGCATTTATTTCTGCCCTGATTTTTAAGATTTCTTTCCTTCTACTAACCCTGGGGTTCTTCATTTCTTCCTCCTCTAGTTGCTTTAGGTGTAGAGTTAGGTTATTTATTTGACTTTTTTCTTGTTTCTTGAGGTAGGCCTGTAATGCTATGAATCTTCCCCTTAGCACTGCCTTTACAGTGTCCCATAGGTTTTGGGTTGTTGTGTTTTCATTTTCATTCATTTCTATGAATATTTTGATTTCTTTTTTGATTTCTTCTATGATTTGTTGGTTATTCAGAAGCGTGTTGTTTAGCCTCCATATGTTTGAATTTTTAATAATTTTTTTCCTGTAATTAAGATCTAATCTTATTGCACTGTGGTCAGAAAAGATGACTGGAATGATTTCAATCTTTTTGAATTTACCAAGACTACATTTATGGCCCAGGATGTGATCTATTCTGGAGAAGGTTCCGTGTGCACTTGAGAAAAAGGTGAAGTTGATTGTTTTGGGGTGAAACGTCCTATAGATGTCAATTAGGTCTAGCTGGTCCATTGTGTCCTTTAAAGTTTGTGCTTCCTTGTTCATTTTCTGTTTAGTTGATCTATCCATAGTTGTGAGTGGGGTATTAAAGTCTCCTACTATTATTGTGTTACTATTAATTTCCTCTTTCATACTCATTAGCGTTTGCCTTACATATTGCGGTGCTCCTATGTTGGGTGCATATATAATTGTTATATCTTCTTCTTGGATTGATCCTTTGATCATTATGTAGTGTCCATCTTTGTCTCTTTTCACAGTCTTTATTTGAAAGTCTATTTTATCTGATATGAGTATTGCGACTCCTGCTTTCTTTTGGTCTCTGTTTGCGTGGAATATTTTTTTCCAGCCCTTCACTTTTAGTCTGTATGTGTCCCTTGCTTTGAGGTGGGTCTCTTGTAGACAGCATATATAGGGGTCTTGCTTTTTTATCCATTCAGCCAGCCTTTGTCTTTTGGTTGGGGCATTCAACCCATTTACATTTAAGGTAATTATTGATAGGTATGGTCCCGTTGCCATTTATTTTGTTGTTTGGGGTTCACGTTTATACCACCTTTTTGTGTTTCCTGTCTAGAGAAGATCCTTTAATATTTGTTGAAGAGCTGGTTTGGTGGTGCTGAATTCTCTCAGCTTTTGCTTGTCTGTAAAGCTTTTGAGTTCTCCTTCATATCTGAATGAGATCCTTGCTGGGTAGAGTAATCTAGGTTGTAGGTTATTCTCTTTCATTACTTTAAGTATGTCCTGCCATTCCCTTCTGGCCTGAAGGGTTTCTATTGATAGATCAGCTGTTATCCTTATGGGAATCCCTTTGTGTGTTATTTGTTGTTTCTCCCTTGCTGCTTTTAATATTTGTTCTTTGTGTTTGATCTTTGTTAATTTGATTAATATGTGTCTTGGGGTGTTTCGCCTTGGGTTTATCCTGTTTGGGACTCTCTGGGTTTCTTGGACTTGGGTGGCTATTTCCTTCCCCATTTTAGGGAAGTTTTCAGCTATTATCTCCTCGAGTATCTTCTCATGGCCTTTCTTTTTGTCTTCTTCTTCTTCTGGGACCCCTATGATTCGAATGTTGGGGCGTTTCACATTGTCCCAGAGGTCCCTGAGGTTGTCCTCATTTCTTTTGATTCTTTTTTCTTTTTTCCTCTCTGCTTCATTTATTTCCACCATTTTATCTTCTAACTCACTTATCCTATCTTCTGTCTCTGTTATTCTACTCATGGTTCCCTCCAGAGTTTTTTTGATCTCATTTATTTCATTATTAATTTTTAATTGACTTTTTTTTATTTCTTCTAGGTCCTTATTAAACATTTCTTGCATCTTCTCAATCTTTATCTCCAGGCTATTTATTTGTAACTCCATTTTGTTTTCAAGATTTTGGATCATTTTTATTATCATTATTCTAAATTCTTTTTCAGGTAGATTCCCTATTTCCTCCTCTTTTGTTTGACTTGGTGGGCTTTTTTCATGTTCCTTTAGCTGTTGGGTATTTCTCTGCCTTTTCATCTTGTTTAGATTGCTGTGTCTGGAGTGGGCTTTCTGTATTCTTGTGGTCTGAGGTTCCTTTTTATTGTGGAGGTTTCACCCAGTCGGTGGGGTTGGACGATTGGTTTGTCAAGGTTTCCTGGTTAGGGAAGCTTGTGTCAGCGTTCTGGTGCGTGGAATTGGATTTCTTCTCTCTGGAGTGCAATGGAGTGTCCAGTAATGAGTTTTGCGATGGATCTATGTGTTAGGTGTGACTTTGGAGAGCCTGTATGTTGACACTCAGGTCTATGTTTCTGCGTTGCTAAAGAATTTGCGTGGTATGTCTTGTACTGGAGCTTATTGGCTCTTGGGTGGTGGTTGGTTTTGGTGTAGGTATGGAAGCTTTTGGATGGTCTCTTATTCCTTAATGTTCCGTGTAGTCAGGAGTTTTCTGGTTTTCTCAAGATTTGGGCTTAAGTCTCCTGCCTCTGGATTTCAGTTTTGTTCTTCCAATAGTCTCAAGACTTCTCCAACTATACAGCACTGATAATAAAACTTCTAGGTTAATGGTGAAAAGATTCTCCACCGTGAGAGACAACCAGAGAGGTTCACAGAGTTACATGAAGAACAGGAGAGGGAGGAAGGAGATAGAGGTGAGCAGGAGGAGAAAAGGGGACTCAAGAGGAGAGAGGCAGATCTACGCAGTTATCTGTTCCCAAAGTGTTCTCCGTAGCCCAGACACCCACAAAGATTCACAGAGTTGGATTGGGAAGAGAAGGGGAAAGGAGGAAATAGAGGTGTTCCGAGGTAGAAAACAGAGAGTCAAAAGTGGGAGAGTAATCACCACACTCCTGAATAGAAATGGGAACTGAATATTGGATTCTTAAATGACCAAAATTTATATCACATACTACTGAAAAACAAAGATTAAAAATCTAGTGTAGAGGTTAGACTCTTTGAAATACAATATTTAAAAACAAAAACACACACAAAAAAAATTTAGAAATGTATATGAAGTTTGATTTAAAAATAGGGTTTTTCTCTTTTTTTTTTTGGCAAGGTTATAGTGAAATGAAAATGAAAATTAAGGAATAATAGAGGAGTATTAGAGGACTTTAAAAGGAAATAGGAGAGAAAAACAAGAAAAAGAAAAAAAAGAAAAAAAATTTTTTTTTTTCCCTAATTAAAAAAATCGTAAAAATATATGAAAATGAAAGTTGAGGAGTAATGGGGGAGTAATAGGGAATTTTAAAAGAAAATAAAAGAAAAAAAAAAAAAAGGATAGAAAAAAAATTTTTTTTTTAAATTAAAAAAAAAAAAAATATATATATATATATATATATCTAGGAATTTCTCTGGAGTTGTTGCAGTCAGCGTAGGTTCAGTTCAATTTCAGATAGCTCCTCTTTCCAGCTTACACTTCTCGATATCTGTAGGCCCCTTCCGGTGTAGTCGGTGTTACCTTCAGGGATTTTAATCTGTTGCACCAGTCCTTTCTGAAGCGGTTCCCTTTGTTTATTTGGCTTCTGTTTGCCGTCTCTTCGGTGTCTAATTTCCGCCCTGACACAGGCGGGTGGAGGTGATCTCTTATTTAGGTTCTCTAGTTCAGTTCAGTCCTGCTACGGGGAGGGCGGGGCGCTGCAGACAGATGCCGCTCTGTGTGGATAGCACTCACCGTGTTCCCGTCACGCTGGGTTTGCCCCGCTCACGGGTGTCAGCGCTTTCGCCGTCTACACTGCTCAGGCTCCCGGCTGCTCCATATGGAGCGGGCCCTGCGTTGAGTGCGGTTCCAGCTTTCGGGTACTCCACAAAAGCGCGGATTCGGTTGCGCCTGCGTTTTGTGCCTTCCCCGGCCTGAGCGGTTCAGGCAGCCAGAGGCTTGGGCGTACTCTCCCTGGGTATGGCACGCCTTTTCCCTCCGCGGCGAGCGGCCCAGGCAGCCAGAGGCTTGGGCGCAATCTCCCCGGGTACGGCGCGCTTTTTCCCTCCGCGGCCCCAGCGCGCGCCGCCAGTCGGGTCTCAGGAAGTCTTTAGATAGGAACCGGGGGTCTGTTTGCAGTGTGGGAGGGGGTGGCTTCTCAGGGGCTGAGTTTGCCCTTTTCCCCTCCCCCCTGCCTCCTACCTCCAGCGGGGATGGGCCGGCTCTTCTCTGGACTTTCTCAGTCCCTTTGTTTTGCGAACAGCCGGCAGTGTGTTCGGGCCCTAAGCAATGCCGCCCGCTCCTCTCCGTCCCGCCCCCGCTTGTTGCTGGCGGGTACGGGCGTCTGGGGTACTTTTCTGCTGGGAGTTGCTTTTAGGCACGTAATCTGTGGGCCTTGTTTAATTTTTCCTCCCAGTTAGATTGCTGAAGACTTCCCCCAGTCCCGCCAGTGCGAGGGTTTCCTGGTGATTGGAAACTTCCTCTATTGAGACTCCCTTCCCGGGACGGGTCTCCGTCCGTAGCTCTTTTGACTCCCTTTTTATCTTTTATATTTTGTCCTACCTCCCTTCGAAGACAATGGGCTGCTTTTCTGGGCGCCTGATGTCCTCTGCTAGCGATCAGAAGTTGTTTTGTTCAATTTGCTCAGCATTCAAATGTTCTTTCGATGAATTTGTAGGAGAGAAAGTGGTCTCCCCGTCCTATTCCTCCGCCATCTTGGCTCCTTCGGATTTTTTTTTCTTTAATGGAGTTGAAAATGTCTTCATTTTTAGAGCTTCACAAGATAATTTTTTGGCAGCTGCGTGTGTATTTTGGCCATATCACGTGGCTTGTGGGATTTTAGTTCCCTAAGCAGGGATTGAACCTGGGCACTCAGGAGTGAGATAACCTCTGGACAGGGAGTGAAGCCCCCTGGGCTGTTTTTTCTTAAGGCATTCTTTTCTGGCTAACTTAAGAGCCAAACGTCTTAAGGTTTTTATCAACTCATTGTCCTTTTTGAGCCCAAACATTGAGACCCAGTGTACTATGTATTAAAATAATATTATAAATTCAGACCAGAGATAGGCCCTTTGTGTTTCAAATATGCCTGTGAAAAGATCATGAAATGTGTCTTTATTCCTTCATAGTCACATCCAAAATATTAGATTTCATACCTTAAAATTGCATTCACATAGTTTCTTTAAAAAAATTTGGATATCACAGCTTTTGAAAGCTGTATTTTGAACTTCTAGCCCTACTTTATTATATAGTTTTATTTTAAAATAAATTCATTATTATATAGAATATTTCAGAAATTGGTCAACTTGACAAAGGGATTAGGTATTCTGAAGAAGACATAGGAACTCCAAGAAAGAAATCTATGTATCATAAGCAAGGCAGATCTAGATTTTGTAGGGGCTGAAGCTTATACAATTTTGAGAGCCTTATTAAGACAAAGAAAACAAAATTAGTAGAATAAGGTATTCACAGCCCCTCTGACATCATCCAACAGGATCATACCTATGGCCATTCCAGTATCACCAAGAGGGGAAATGTGATGGAAGAGATGTTAGAATGGGAAAAGATAGTGGTGTTAACCAGTTATAAATTGTGTGTGTGAATTTTTATTTAAAAAATAAAGCTTCATGGTGAATCTTCCTCTGGTCATAGGTAAATATTTTAGCTGCATAGACATTTCAGTGGTTTCTGTATGGGGAAATATACATCTTACTACCAAAGATTCAGGTTAGCTTAACAAAATTGGGTAGTGTCATTCATAAGGATTAAAAAGCTTTAACGATCATGTTTGTTGGATCATTTTTCTATAATAGAACTCCTCTGATAAAATATCTTAATTTTTATTAGCTGTTTGGGGGTAATTTGAAATAATGAGTGGGTTTAATATTTTAGGTGGATGCCAGTATAAAATGCCAGACCAATCCACCTGAGAATATCTTGCCTTCAGAACAAATGGGATTCCTTATTTCCGAAATGGGGCCTGCTAGCAAGCCTAGTAAAGACATGGGTTTATCCACTCCAGCCAGATACAGAGAGCGAAGAAGCAACTCACAGCAAGGAAAGTCCCCTGGTAAGGACTTATGTGCTCTGGAGCGCTCGCGGTAGAGTCACAGTGTGGAATTAATTTCTGAGTGGTCTTCAGTTATTATTCATAGTTACACTTATCACATTGCTGCTTAATATAACTGTGATTTTAACTCTTTTCTTAATTATCCCTGTAAAGTTAAGTCCACATTATATTTCAGTATTGCATGTAAAAATATGAGCTTTTGCAAAGAGAACATAGTGAGTAAAAGCAAAACAATTTGGATTATTTAACTAGGAGAATGCACGGATGAAAGACGGTTTAATAACTGCTTCAGATGCCAAAGACTTTGTAATTACAGGAGTACTTGTTCTTTTATTAGCAGAGTATAGTACAAAAGGGCATGTTCTTAAATTGTGGCAAGAAAAAATTAGATGGACATTAAAGATATTACCCTGAGCATGTTATAAAGTGTAACTGTGTATCAGTGGGATTTTTCTTGTGGTTTGTAGGAACCCAGAGCTGGTGATTATTTTAGTACAGTGGGTGTCACTCTTTCTAGGGGCATGGACAGAATCTTTTTAAAGAAAATAGTGACATTTAATAAAATATGTTTCTTGTATGATATGATCCAAAACCAAATCATCGAAGTTTTCAGTAGACAGTGTGAATATTATTAAATTATATGCATGTTAGATGCGTGCAATTCAGTGAATTAAGCAGTCAGGTCAAACAGTCATGTCAACCTATAAAAATTGGAAGAATCTTGGGAACTTCTGGAGAATTTTCCCCAAAAGTAAGCTAATAGTAATATGATCGAGGTGTTGTTTAGACTCACAGGGTTCTTTCTGCAGAGTGCCATTTAGACCATGTCTCCCTGTTCATACTGTATGCGCTGTTTGCTGAATGCAGGGTAGGCAAGGCGTGAGCTAAGAGGTTGGAAGAGAACTCGAGGAGCTGTAGGAACTGCAGCTGTTTCTTCTCTCCTGGCTGGTACAGCGGCTGTAGCAGCAGACATAACATAACCTCCCTCAAGGGCTTTCCAGGTGGAACTTACATATGCTTACAGAACACAAGTAGCCCGTGGCCAAGCAAGTACCTCATGACACACATGCTCAGTGCTATCCAGCTCTTTGCAACCCGATGGACTGTATACTGGAGTGAATAGCCTTTCCCTTCTCCAGGGACCTTCCCAACCCAGGGATTGAACCCAGGTCTCCTGCATTGCAGGCTGATTCTTTACCAGCTGAGCCACAAGGGAAGCCTTATAAATGATCTCAGTTACATAATCATTATTCACAAAACGTGGGGCGAGAGAGAGAGAGGGCGTGAGGAGAGAGAGCCTGACCACCACCATCTTGGCTTATTTGCTCTTTCCCTACTGACCAAAATCTATCTGGACCACTCATCTTATTTGGTAAACTCAACTTGTACAGTTGCTTTTAGTTGAGTATATGATCCAATCTGTAATCAGAGATTAAGATTTCTTACCACTGAAGATGTTCAAAACAATGGCATAAACTTTAAAGGCAATTTAGAAAAGGACAGTAGTGAATATTCACTGCATACTCATTTTTATGCCATACTACAAACTTGATGAAAGTGGTATTGTCATCTCCTTGAAAGATCAGAAAACTTAAGCTTGGAGAGGATAAGGAACTTGTTCAAGATCACATTAATTTAGCTAGTACTCTGCTCACAGTCCTTCTGTTGACTGTGCCCTTTGATGCACAGAAGTTTTTAAGTTTGACATTGTCCCATGTGTCTATTTTTGCTTTGGTTGCCTGTGCTGTTGGTGTCGTATCCAAGAAATCATTGCCAAGCCTAGTGTCATACAGTTTTTCCACTGTGTTTTCTTTCAGGTGTTTTATAGTTTTAGGTCTTATATTTAGGTCTTTAATCCATTTTGAGTTAATATTTGTAGATGATGTAAGACAAGGTTCCACTTGATTCTCTTGCATATGGACATCTAGTTTTCCCAGCACCATTTGTTGCAGAGAGCTTTCCCCATTGAGTGTTTTTGGCATCCTTGTTCAAGGTGATTGACCATATGTGTGAGGATTTATTTCAGGTCTCTATTCCAGTTCATTGGTCTGTTTTTCTGTGTTTATGCCAGTACCATATGATCTCTGTTTAACTATTCAGTTCTGCTGTTGTAGCTCAAAAGCAATCATAGATAATACATAAGTGAATGGTTGTGGTTATATTTCAGTAAAACTTTGTTTACAAAAAATAGGTGCTGGGCCCAGTTTGACCTAGAGATTGTAATTTGCCAAGCCCTAAGTTAGACTAACAGCTTATTTCTGAACAACAGCAATGGAAGCCAGAAAGGAGTAGAATCATATTTTCAGTATACTAAAAGAAATATGCACTCCTGGAAATCTCTACCCAGCAAAAAGATTCTTCAGTGATGAAGGCAAAAATGAAGACATTTTCAGATAAACACAAAATCAAGAGCATGCACCACAGCAGATAAACATTAAAGAAAGTTCTGCAGGGTGTTCTTCAGGCAGAAGAAAGCAAGGAGACATATTGTAGTTCCCAGGATAATCACCAACATAATAGAAACAATCCAAAAAAAAAAGGGGGGGGGGCAGGAAAGGAGGAAGAAAGAAATGCAAAATAAGGAAAAGAGAAAACAAATAATAAAGTGATTGACCCTGATTCAACCAATACAACTATTATATACGTAAATAGTCTTAAAATGTCAGAGGCAGAGATTGCTAGAGTAGATTAAAGGGGAAAGTCCTACTGTAGGCTGACTACAGGAGACATGTATTGAAAGTAAGTGGATAGAAAAAGAACAAGCAAATAGGAAGTACAAGGTGGCTGTTATGATTATTCTTAAACATCAGGTAAAACAGACCTTAAGACCTAGAGTGTTAAAAAGAGGGCCACTTCATAATGATGAACAATTTATCAGCGAGGTATGACAAAGAATGTTCAAACTACCACATACTTGTGCTCATTTCACATGCTGACAAGGTAATGCTCCGAATCCTTCAAGCCGAGGCTTCAACAGTACATGAACCAAGAACTTCCAGGTGTTCAAGCTGGCTTTAGAAAAGGCAGAGGAACCAGAGATCAAATTGCCAACATCCGCTGAATCATAGAAAAAGCAAGGGAATTCCAGAAAAACATCTTCTTACTCATTGACTATGCTATAGACTTTGTGTGAATCACAACAAACTGTGGAAAATACTTAAAGATATGGGAATATCAGACCACCTGAACTGTCCCCTGAGAAACCTGTATGCAGGTCAAGAAGCAGTAGTTAGAGGTGGACTTGGAACAATGGACTGGTTCCAAATTGGGAAAGAAGTAAATCAAGGCTGTATATTGTCACACTGCTTTTTTAACTTAAAGGCAGAGTACATCATGCGAAATGCCAGCCTGGATGCATCCCAAGCTGTAATTAAGATTGCTGGGAAAAATATCAGTAACCTTATATATGCAGATGATACCTAATAGCAGAAAGTGAAGAGGAAATAAAGAGCTTCTTGATGAAGGTGAAAGAGGAGAGTGAAAAAAGTTGGCTTAAAACTCAACATTCAAAAAACTAAGATCATGGCATCTGGTCCCATCACTTCATGGCAAATAGATGGGGAAACAATGGAAACAGTGACAGACTTTTCTTGGGCTCCAAAATCACTATGCACAGTGACTACAGCCATAAAATTAAAAGACGCTTGCTCCTTGGAAGAAAAGCTATGACAAACTAGATGGTATATTAAAGAGCAGAGACATCCCTTTGCCGACAAAGGTCCATATCATCAAAGCTATAGTTTTTCCAGTAATCATATACAGATGTGAGAGTTGGACTGTAGAGAAGGCTGATTGCTGAAGAATTGATGTTTTCGAACTGTGGTACTGGAGAAGACTCTTGAGAGTCCCTTGGACTGCAAGGAGATCAAACCAGTTAATCCTAAAGGAAATCAACCCTGAATATTCACTGGAAGGACTGATGCTGAAGCTGAAACTCCAAAACTTTGGCCCCCTGATAAGAGCCGACTCATTTGAAAAGACCTTACTCCTACACTTTGATGCAAAGAGCCAACTCAGTGGAAAAGACCCTGCTGCTGGGAAAGATTGAGGGCATGAGGACAAGGGGATGATAGAGGATGAGATGGTTGGATGGCATCTTTGACTCAATGGACATGAGTTTGAGCAGACTCTGGGAGATAGTGAAGGACAGAGAAGCCTGGTGTGCTGCCGTCCATGAGGTCAAAGAGTCGGACTCCACTAAGTGACTGAAAAACAACATTATAAATGTGTTTTGTGTAATAATAGAGCTTCAAAATACAAGAAACAAAATAACAAAAAGAAACAGACAATTCCTCAATGTACTAGGATGTTTTAATATTTTTATATAAGCAGTTGATAGAATAACCAGACAAAATATCAGTTAAAGACATAGAAGATATGAACAATGTTATCACCTTGATCTAACTGGCATTTTTGGAACACTGAGCATCCAGTGCTTGCAGAATATATACATTGTTCTCAAGTGCGTATAGTACATTTACCAGATAGGTCATTCACTGGGCCATAAGACAAGTCTCAATACATTTAAAAGAATTGAAGTCATACAAAGTGTTTTTTCTGAATACAACAGATTAAATTAGAAATCAATAACAAAGAAATTAGGAAAAGATCAAATATCTGGAAATAAACATACTTCTAAATAATTTGTGACTCAAAGACAAAATCACAAGAAAAATTAGAAAATATTTTTAACTGACTGACAATCAAAATACAATATCCGAGTTTGTGGGATGCAGCTGGAGCAGTGTTAGAATCAAACATACAGCTTTAAAGGCTAATAGAAAATAGTAAGACCTAAAACCAATGACCTGAGGTTTTACTTTATGTGAAACTATAAAGAGAAGAGGAAAATAAACTCAAAGTAAATGTTAAAAATAAAAGCAGAGGGAATTCCCTGGTGGTCCAGTGGTTAGTACTCAGAACTTTGGACTTTCCACCTCCAAGGGTGTGGGTTCTATCCCTAGTCCAAGATCCCTAGAACTAAGATCCCACAAGCCATG